TGGATTAAAGTTTTGTGCAAATCAGACTTTGTTTGTGCAAACAGGAGCAAAATTAATGTTGTCAAAAAGAGCAAAAAAAAACCTCACATTTTGCCGCTCCGCTGCTCAAACAACGTTTAACGGATCAAAATTCCCTGAAGTCATTTTGAAGGTACATGTGTTGAGATGATGTGGAGCGATTTTGAGGCGAATCAGTGAAACGGCAGAGGCTGGTTTGATGTTTGTGTGAGGTGTACATTTGCAATGAATGGGGAGCGTTTCTCGTCGCCACGGCAACAGGGTAAAAAATAAGCCTTGGACCCTATTGACTTTTTGAATCAAAAGGGAAAAACGGATTCATGTGCAAAATTTCAAACATTTTGAAAATACTAAATTTGAAAATGCCCATCTAAAACTTTGTAATAGTCTGTAGGGGGCGCTAATGTGTCAATTTGAATTAATTCATCTTCAAACGACCTAGACCGTAGAGTTGAACAATGTATTAAAGTTTTGTGCAAATCAGACTTTGTTTGTGCAAACGGGAGCAAATTTAATGTTGTCAAAAACGGCCAAAAATAAGGTCACATTTTTCCGCTCCACTGCTCGAACAATGTTTCACTGATCAAAAATCCCTGAGGTCATTTTGAAGGTACATGTGTTGAGATGATGTGGAGCGATTTTGAGGCGAATCGGTGAAACGGCCGAGGAGGAGTCGCTTTCCAAGCGACATGTATGAAAATGATTGGTTTTCATGTTTCCATTTTGCAATGAATTTATGAGCTTCCTGTTTGTCAGAGGGCTTAGCCATAATAACATTTTTTCCATGTCTTGACTTGAGGAACATGTGTACCAAATTACATGGTTCTACGGCAATTTTGACCTTGAACCCTCCCATAGGCATTTTTAAATTGGCTGTTGTAGGTGGCGCTATAGAGCCAATTTCAAAATTTGAACTTTCAAATGAACCTAGACTCAAGAGTTGAACCATGGATTCAAGTTTTGTGCCAATCACACTTTGTTTGTGCAAACGGAAAAAAATATTCTATTGTCAAAAACTGAAAAAAAAATACGCCACTTTTTGGCGCTCTGCTGCTCAAACAACGTTTCACTGATCAAAATTCCCTGAAGTCATTTTGATGGAACATATGTTGAGATGAAGCTATCATTGAATGGGAGCTACTACACCCATCAAAACTGGGAAAAACTTCTTTGTTGATTTTTAGTAAATTTTTCCAATTTCATTTTTGCCTGTAGTAGCTAGCTATTGTTCAAATGGAGCTATTACACCCATCAAAACTGGGAAAAACTACTTTTTAAAAGCAGTTTTTATTGTATTCACCAACCCATCTGCAACGTTCTGTCAAATCTTGCACTTTGCAGACGGTCCCTTGCTGAGAGCTTATCACACAGCGGAGACTTCATCTTCATTGTTTTTCGTGTTATAAATCGTCAGCTGCAGCCTAAGTAAAGTTTTTTTTATATAGGTGGCAACATTGTGAACAGCATTTAATACTACACTCTTCACTAAACTGAAAATACGGACAGACTTTGAATCCAGGGGGATTTTGTTCGAATATCAGGCGAATATCAAACGTTCGGCTAACTTCACCTCGGTCTCGAATGGACGCAGACAAAATGAGGAAACGATGGAGATACAGACAAAGACTTTCAAATTTATTCTGGAATCGTTGGAGCAAAGAATATTTATTAGAATTACGCTCTGCTCATTCTTGCACCAACGCAAAGGAATTTAGAGACTTCAAAATCGGAGACGTGGTCATAGTCCACGAAGACAAATTGCCACGTCACATGTGGAAAGTGGCTCGAATCACCGGAGTTTATCTCGGGCGTGACGGCAGGGTTCGCTCTTGTTTACTTATGCTTCCCTCAAGATCAACGCTAAGGAGACCCATCCAGCTTCTCTATCCCCTTGAACTCTAACCACCAAGTGATGAGCTGACTGGAGTCGGGCTCATCGGCGGGGAGTCTGTTGCGGCTATCCAAACGCGCTGCACGCTACCTTCTAGGCGCTCATAACGAGCGCACCTCACAGCAGGAGACGCGCTCCTCCCAGTCGGCCCCTTCCAATGGCCGTTGTGGGTGGTGCCCTTTTTCCTTTTTATCAGTGATTGTTTGAATGTGTGTGAAAAAAATGAACAATGACTTGTGCTCACGGAGAGAAGTCAAATTTATAATAAAATAAGAAAAGACACTCCTGCCTTGTGTTCGTTCGTAATTTGGGTCATTACTGCAACACGGGTCATTTCCCGAAGAGGTGCTGCAAAGCACTTTGAAGGCCTACCCAATGCTGAATGGAAGCAAGCTCAAGACAGAGCTCAGTCTCATCTACAGCAAAGCAGAGTTCAGAGCCTGTTGTGGTGCAGTGTTCCAGCTGTTCATGGAGAACAATCTTCAAGATGTTTTTTTCAGAAACGGTCACTCTTTTAAAGATCCTTATTACCACACCTATGACCACAGCTGAAGCAGAGAGGTGCTTCTCAACCTTAAAAAGGGTGAAAACTTGTAAATAGTTTATCCATCACTAAATCTGTTAACCTTTCACCTGTCTGCCTCCTTCCATTCCTCCCTGCCTTTGGGTCTACATCGACACACCACCGTGACAGAAAGTAGTTTATTGTTGCCAGTGCACCCCCCCAAACATTTTTATCACCAGCCGCCACTGGACACCACACACGCGTGTTTGGCGCAACGCATTATGGGAGATCATCCACTGCGCAGAACCGGGAGGACCAGACGATGCCCAAATACAGGCGAGTTTCCCATAGATCTTTGCGAGTTTAAGGCAACTTCCGCTAATCTTTCAGCCCCCATGCCGTCACAAAGCGCCACTGAGCACAACCATTCATTTGAATAGGGCGCCATTTTGGATCGCCGGGACTTGAGCTGAGGCTGCTTTTGACGTGGTGATTGACTTTAAGGTTCACAAAATATTTGAATGACTCATTAAATGTTATGGTCAGTGTTCTGACTTTGTGACTGTCCACAAGGGAGGGCCACAGAGCTCAATATTAGGACCCCTCCTGTTCATTACAGTACAGTACAGTATGTATGTTAATAAAATGGGACAAAATGTGTCAGATGCTAATTTACATCTTTAAGCTGACGACACAATTATTTACAGTTTTGAAATTACTCCAACCAAAGCTGTTGAATCTCTGCAGAAAGCGTTTGAGGTGTTTCAGCACACTCTTCTGCAGCTAAAACCTGTCCTCAATTCTGAGAAGTTTTAACAAGATTCTTTGTTTATAAGGCTTGGTCTGCTGCCCTCTTACTCATTTACTCACACAAAGAGATGTTGGTTGAGCTCATATGGTTTGGGATTAGGGTTTAATATTTTTCCCGAAAATGAGACGTATCATTTCCCGGGAAAAGACGACGCCTTTCCCGGGAAATCCCGGGAAATAGCTGTTGTTTGTAGTTGTTGTTTTTAGCCCAAGTAATGTATGATATCACTCAAATATATAATCCAACAAAAGCTGCCATCTCCACTAGTGTTTCACCAAGTGACTTGCTAGCTTTTATAAAGTAGCCATAGCGTTTTCAGACGTTTTGTTGATGGGCTTTCTTCAGGAATTTCACTATTATGAGATTCTAAATGTCTGCGCAATCCACTTGTCGAAAAGTTACGTGCGGTGTGGTTTGGAGGCACTGACTTCAGCCCTGTCAGATGAACATATATCATATAAATCAACAGAACCTACAGAGCGGCTTATTCACAATTAGTTTGGCTACAGCAGAATGTTTTCCATGGCCCGCATTGTTTGCTCAAACAAAACGCAAAAGTTCGTAAAAGGCACATTTCCAATTGTGTTATGGGTCTTACCTTAGTTATTAATGAACAGCACAGACCACTTCAGTTCAGACCAGTTTCATGTTTAAGTCCATATAATAGTTTGAGCGCAGATATGTAATCCCCCATTTGGAAATAAGCCCAAAGAGTTTTAAAGCGTAAAACAAAACGGGTGCCACCTCCATAAACTCCTGTGTGTTCGCTGCAGCCGGCTCTCGGGCGCATCCAATTTCTAATATCAACCTTCTTACCCTTCTCCTCTCTTCCTTATCATTCCTATCGTCATTGTAAGCAGAACATTACCCTAAATGCATTTTATATGATTTTAAAATGTGTTATATGTATGTTAGCCAAACCTGTTGCTGCCCTTAGCAGATGGAAAAAAAGAAAGGAGCTTTCTGATAGAATTGGACGTAACCAAATTCTGGGCTCACATGTGCCCCGTACCCTGAGCCTGGCCTCATTACAAGTCGTGGTTTAGCGCGATTAAGACCCATATTTGTTGTCAAAAACACAATTTAGGAGCCATCCTCTCAGCTGTAGACATGTTGATTGTAAATGAAATATGTTTGAACTTTGAACAACAATAAACGTGCTTTATAATAGGAGCGCACTGTATTTTTTTTTTTTTACTTTCATTTCCCGTTTCCCGTCATAACATTTCCCGGGAATCGGGAAATAGTTTTCATCAGATTTCCCGGGAATCCCGTATCCCGGGATTAAACCCTATTTGGGATCAAATGATTTTTTGTTGCTCTCTGTTCCTTTTGCACAAAACTGGGAAAAAAAGCTTTTGTATTTGCTGCTCCTTCTACATGGAACGTGTTGCAAAAAGACTGGAAATTATCTTAATGTATTTCATTGAATGCTTTTAGATCTGCCTACTCCTTTTGAGCTCTATATAGCACTTAAACAGACATTGATTTTGTTGTATCAACGTTTTGTATTGTTTAATACAAAACGTTGTATTAAACAACGTTTAAATAAACAAACATCTGATCTGAGCCAAAGCTTATACAAACTCATCCAAACTATGAAGCAAAATTCAAAATCTTGCTCTACATGGATCACTCCTAAGAAAATGGACTACACAATTTTTCATATAAAGAAATGAAGGACACAGGATTTAGAAAATCTGTTTCAAACAACAACAGATAGATTCAGTATAAATATTCAAATATTCAGGAAAGTTTGGATGTCGCTCCTGGAGCTAGCGAACTTTAGCTTGAACTTTGAAGGGGTGTGGGACACGTGTCGCCCCGCTCACACCGTCGGTCCTCAGCTCCACTCCGTCCGAAACGTAAAATGAAAACTTTTGCAGCAAACCAACCATAAACAGAAACAGCTCCATTTTTGCAAGGCTCTCTCCCAGACAGACGCGTTTCCCTGAATAATATATTAAAGTAATACAAAGACATGATACATGGGTAGACACATCTGTTATGTCGGTGAAACATGGCTCACCTGCTGAGAAAGGCATCAGAGCATCTCTTTTTCTAAACTTTCCGTCTTTGTCCAGAAAGTGTTCTGGGGTAAATGTGTCGGGACTCTCCCACTCAGTCTTGTCAAATAGCACAGAGTGCAGCATGGGCATGATGGCGGTTCCCTGTAAACAAATATTCTTAAAAATAGTTGTTGATGGAACAATTTTAATGTAAGGTCAACGATTATTTTGCAAACAATTAATATAGGCTAATATAGGATAATCCTAGTCTAATAATCAAAATTATGATCTTTGTGTTTAATGTTAAATGCCTCTTTCTCTGTACCTTCGGTATGAAGTATCCTCCCAGGGTGGTGTCCTGAGAGGTAATTCTTAGTCCATTGAGGGGCACAATGTCTCCTATTCTCTGAATCTCATGCACGACAGCGTCAGTGTAGGGAAGATTGGCCCGATCTCCCATAGTGGGCAAACGATTCTGTCCAATCACTCTGTCTATTTCAGCCTGGACTTTTTCTGAAAATGTAATGTAGTTGCCAAAAGATGAATGCTTTTTGTTATTTAAACTCAAAATAAATATTAGTGCCTTACCCTGAACCTCCGGATGTTTAATGAGGTAAATCAGGGCCCACTGCAGAGTGGTGGAGGTGGTCTCTGTCCCAGCTAAGAACAGGTCCATGGCACAAAAGGCCAAATTGGTCTCATCAAAGCCGTCATCAGAGTCTTTATGCTGCAAGACAGAAACTGGAAGTGAAGTGTCTCCTGACAGAAACAAAAGACTTCTGTAATCCTGCGTAAACAACTGTGCTGATCTTCTTCCACGTGGATCTGTAAGATGGGCTCAGTCAAAGAAGCGTTGCTTTGTCTCTTTTTTCAAATGTTGACTTCTGTTATTGATGTAAACTCACATTTTGCATCTCCATAATGAACGTGTCGATGTAGTCGCGTGGGTTATTGGGGTCTAGGTCCTTCTTGTGGCTTTCAACCTCCTCCATGATGAACTCAATAATCTTATCAATGTTATGAAACATTTTGTTGTGTGGACCAGGCAGGCGCTTCATGAGCCAAGGAAACGACTCGTACAGCTGTCCATGACACACAAACACACTTAGTTAACTCAGTGAATGCATCCTGATGAAACGCCCTTATCTATCCATGGAACAAGCAAACTGAGATTATTATTCCATACCTGCGCCCACACTGTGCCTTCAAGATAAAGGGTTTCAGCTAAATAACGGAGCATAGTTTGAAATTTATCGTTGCTGTAGTCAAAACGTTTCCCCATCACCAGCTGACAGATTATGTTGGATACGGCATTATTGAAAAGTCCAGCAGGTGTGAATGGCTCCCCTGTTGGAGAAATCAGCTATTTTAATTGATAGTCAGATTAGTCAGTTTACAAAGCAGCAGTCTTTGAGCCAGAGTTCATGTCCATACTCGGTGCGTGAAAATAAAGGTGGTTTTACCTTTGTAGTTCTGGATCTCGTCCTGCAGACACTGGATCTCCTGACGGATGCACAGGTCCATGCTGCTTTTTCCCAGACCAAAGCTTCTCAAAGTGGATAAAGCAAATCGTCTGTGATTTCTCCACTTGACACCATTGCTCAAGAAGATACCCCCTGCAGAGGTAAACGTACACTTCATCAGTTTGACGGTTGCCTCTGATATGTTCTAAATAATCAACTCAAGGTAAAAGAATGCATTAATGTGCAATGGCAGTAACAAGAGCTCAGAGTCATTGACAGTCTTCAGCTTTTTTTCACCATCAGCCCTTCAGGTTGTCTACTAACTAATGACTAGTGAATTATTGAAAATTGATCACATATATAATATGTAAGGTTCTTTGTGCTAAAACTATTCCTTACCCCCTGTTGATGAGTAGAACCTGTCGCCCATTGGGCTGAAGGGACGTTCCGCAAAGATGTCAGCTTGATTCACCAGTGCTTCCTTCACCATCTTGTATCCAGTGACAAACACTAACTTATCGCTGCCAAAACGGAAGCTGAAGACATTTCCATAGGTTTCAGCTAACTGTGGATGAATATTTATATAATGAATATCTCATATAAACATATCATTTTATTTAGTGCACAATTTTAAACTTGCCTGCAACTTTTTACATGTATTTGTTAATTTAATGATGTATTGTTAAGTGAAATTGTACAAATAATAGAAATATGAAGCTCACCTTCGAAAAGCTCAAATGTGGGAATTTAGGGTCAGAATCCAGAAAGTTTCCCAGAACTGGCAAACCTCGTGGTCCAGGAGGGTAGTTTGGAGGACTCCTGTTTTTGACATAATCTGCGATCAATATGAATATAATCAAAAACAGTGCAATTGATTTAAAATCCAAACTGAGCAGGAAACTGTAGAGCCACATGTTGAAGCAGAGAGGAATAAGGACAAAGAGAGAGGGATTTGTAGACAGACTTTGACGCAGATTGCATAACCTGATCCACGCCTCCAAGTTCAAACATGACCCTTGACTTAAACAACAGGACGCTGATTGTTGCTTTGCGCGCAATCTTTTATAAATACAGAAAATATTGTTATTTTTATTGTTATTGTTAATTAAGAATAACATTTTTTTCTAATATTATTTATTATTGGCTGCTACTTTGTGGATTTATCTTATTACGTGTTATTATCAGAATGTTTTTTATTTGATAAAAAAATAAATAATAATAAGTACATAATATGTCGTGCGTTTGTATATTATACAAATTTTTGTTTTTTGTTTATATTATACAAACGCACGACCTGGACATCAAATGAATAAGTTAAATAACCAGGGAGTGCAGATGGAAGTTTGCTGTGAACAGATCTGTCTTTGATCTTAATGTTGCTGTGCACTGTTTTAAATAAAGACTAAAGTAAAGAAACTAATAAACAGTGGTTGTTTAGGAAGACAAGGTGGCTGAGTGGATAGCACTCTCACCTCTCAGATCCTGGGTTCAAATCCCTCTTAGAACAGGCATTTGCATGTTCTCCTTCTATTTGTATAGGTTCCCCTTACAACTGAAAACGTGCACATTAGTTAAAATTGCTGCTTTTTAGTTTGTTGAATTTGTACCAAGACCATGTGTTTAGGCAAGTAAAGCAAATAAGCTGTTTCTACTGTTCTGTATCAGCCTGTACAAGCAGGTGAAAAGGAAAAGCAGATAAAGTTCACGGGGGTGGACCTCGGTCTGGCTGCTTCATCATGTGAGTGAATGCGTTGGTATTAGTCCCAGAGGCACTAAAGGCCAAGATAGGACTTTCCAGGAAAAAAACTACTGTGAGACTAATATCTTATCTTATGATAAATAATACTGTTTATCTTCTTTTCCTGGCTGGCGATAAAACCTTATATTATGTTTGGTAACATAAAGGTCGTGTTTATGATTCTAATTAACCTCTGTTGCACAACAATAAGACATTTACATGTGATACAGTAGCCTTAAACTAAAACACTGCATACATTTATGGACATTTAACATGTATGCCCATTAGTCATCCGCTCGTTGTGGACCAATGGCTGTGTTTTTTATTGTTTCTCTGATCTATGTTGGCGAATTGACAACTTTGTAAAGTCCTCCTGAATAATTAGGGCTATATGAAAAGAAATAGAATTTAATTGTTAGGGTTATAGTTGTCTTTGACCTCAGTCTTATGTTGATGTCGTTTATATTGTGTCCTTGTTTTTATATAAGTGTGAACATTGAACCTAGGCTTCATCTTGGCTGTTTTAAAATAGAATTGCGTGTTTGGAAAAAAAAAGAAAAAATGAACATGGGGAAATTAATAATATCTGTAATATAATATCTGAAAAGAGCCAGATGTTTATAAATGGCACCAACGTAAAATATTGGTTTCTGCAGGAACTTGGTTTGAGTGAAACAGTTTTACATGAGACAGAGTTCAAAACATTTTTTATTTTTCACTTTCATCAATGACATTTAAAAATATTCCACACGCTCCACTTTATAACTCCCTGGCTTCACACAAACATGTCCCTCAATGTGCTTACATTTGATTATGTTTTTATTATAGTGTGCTCGATCTCTTATACAATTCCACCTTTGTTTTAGTTTCATAAAACATCTCTGAAAAAATGATTAACTGTACTTCTCTGGCAGATACATTTTCACTGTTAACTGATCTTTGGATAAAGGCAGATCATTGTAAATATTGTAGTTCCCAGTGTTTCTGTGGTGTTTAGCGTGGCACAGCTATCACCCGAAACTGCTCCGGGGAGTTGGTGAAGCCCTGGACGCCCATCAGACTGGGCATCTCTCCTGGAGCCGCCCTCAGGCTGAAGCGCTGCAGGAGAGCCGCGAAGAACAGGAACAGCTGGATCTTGGCCATGTGCTCTCCCAAACACATACGTTTACCTGCACCAAGACAACACACCGTTACAGCTGCACAGGGACACACACACACACATATGAAAGCTGTCGCTATTATTATAATATTCACAATGAACAAATTAACCTGCGTTGTTTTTTTTTAAAATATCTGTTTTCCTTGTTCTTCAACCGATCATGTATTTCGAATGAATGAAAATGGGATCTGCATCGCGTGGCCTCAGTCCTCGTTCTACATCTTGAGTCCTGGATCTATATACGGGCCCGTCTGTGTGAGCGGATCACTCTCTCAGTTTGGGCCTCCCTGAGTTTATCCTTGCAGATTCTTGCTTCTTCATCATGCTGTGGTTGGAGATTTTAAGACTTCTTTCCTTATTATGCTAAATATAAAGACTTTATACTGCTTATTTTTGTGCTAGAGTTAGAGATTTTATTATATTTTAATTTAGTATGAGTTATTATTAATTTATCTTTTGCTGTGTGCTCCTCATTCCTGCTGTTCGGTAACTTGCAATGCAACACTGAAATTTCCCCACTTTCGGACGAATAAAAGATCTTTTAATCTTAATCGATGCAGGAGGGTCAAAGGACAGTGTTGATGATCCAGGACACTCGCCATTCAACCACATTTATGGTCCTGGAAGAGAATTACTCAATGCTCTTGTATGCCACCATCTTTCCTCTGAAACCGACTTTACAGGATTGTCCAAAAGACTTAGACTTAGACAGACTTCATTGATCCACATTGAAAATTGCGTTGTCACAGTTGCTTGCATAGTATTTCACAATAAAAATAATATTAAAAAGTCTTTTGGACCAGTCTAGTTTAGCCGCTGTGGACTTTTGAAGGCACTCATTAAAAGAATGGGGCTCATGCCGGCTAATGCATGCGCAAATTCGTTTTTTTCACATTTTCTTGCCCTGTGGCCATTTTGAAAAAGCTCACAGAAGGCAAAAGTGGTGGCACATTAATTCCAATGGCAGAGATATTTACAGTCTATGATTTGAACTGTTTGATTCTCTGATCTGTGTTGGCGAATTCAACGGTTTTGTAAAGTCCCCCGAGATAACTACTGTTGTGATGTAGGGCTATATAAGACTAAATTGAATTGAATTAAAAATATGTTTGAGTTTGCTAGTGTACTATCAAATGGCTGAACTCTTAATACAATCCACAGGGACAGCGCTTTTCAGGAACTATAAAAGAACTATCGGATACAAGTAAAGTGGATTGTACCTGTTCTGGTTAAAGAGGGCAACATACAGTCACAAAACAGTGTTAATGTGTGTGAAACAAACCAGCAGAAAATGGCAAAAATGCTTCTCTTCTTCGGAAGCGTCCCTCTGCATCCAGGAAGTGCTCCGGGTTAAACACATCCGGCGTCTCCCATTCATTTTTGTCAAACAGCACTGATGAAAGATTGGACGCCATAACTGTGCCCTGAAAGAGCATTTAAACTGTTTCAGAGAAGTTTTAAAGAGTGTATGTATGTGTAATTGTGAAAAACATAACTTCTTTCTTTGCTGGGGTACCAACATTTCAAAGCAGATGAATGGAACCATATCAAAATATATATAACTATATTTCCTGGCCTCTGTCCCATCTTTATATCAGGGGTTTCAGACAGAAAAATGACAGAAATGACTCTGCCGAAAGTGTCAAACTGTCTGTTTGAACAATAACTGTGATGTGTTATTTTCTAATTTAAAAAGTAAGCACCCCGACTTTAACACTTTAGATGTTGCTGCCTTGGCTCAAAGTCATGCTTGAGCTTTATGAGATGCAGCACTTTATATGTCTCTTGTTTAAAAGTGAAGAAAACTCAATGCAGCCCCACTTGCCTTGGGAATTAAATATCCTCCCAGAGTGGTGTCTTTGCTGGCCATTTTGGGGAAACCCAGAGGCAGAAGGTTTCCGACTCTCTGCACCTCGTGGATCACAGCGTCTGTGTAGGGCATGTGCGGCCGGTCTGTGAGGACGGGCTGCCTGGACTGGCCAATCACAGCATCGATCTCTGCCTGCACCTTTTCTGCCAAATTCATGATGGGAAATACAGATTATTTTCATTTTCCATGCTCCATCTTTGTGTTCGCTGAAACAACTTCTTTGTCAGGGTGTGTTACAATAATTGTTTGTGTAATAAAGGGTTGAGTTTATCAATCTTTATTTGATTACATTTTTAACACTTGGATATTGTAAAAAATGCATTTTAATAAGTTTAATCATTTTGGTTTATCATTATCATCACAATGGCATTGATTCAAGGTAATGCAAATGTGTTTGTATAGCCCAGTTTACAGTATACACAAGGAAACTCAAAGGGCTTACCAAAACAAATGTAACAAACACGTTAATGCGATAAAATCATACACACATAAAAAAAATCAATCATGCAAGGATATTTTTAGTTTACCCTTTACCCCTGTATATCAATATAGAGTTATGATGCAACTTTCTACAGTTAAAAGCTGCTTTAGTAGTTTGAAGTGGTGTGTCTGCGGTGTCTCCTGTGTGTGGGACTAACCCTGTATCTCTGGGTAGTTCATCATGAAGACCAGAGCCCAGCGCAGAGTGGTGGCTGTGGTTTCAGTCCCAGCCTCCACTAGGTCTAAGGTGCACACCAGCAGCGTCTCCAGGTTAAAGCCGGCCAGCGGGTCCTCCTTTTTCTAAATGGTCATCACTTTATCTACATTATCAATGCTACAACAGTCTTACAACAACAACAAAAAAATCACATGCATTTGGGATTATAGAGTAACTTGAGCACTATCCTCTCCTCGTCCTACTTAATCTGTCTTCATTATGTATCTGCTTTAGTCTGACAGCAGCCTTCACTTGCTGCCCCATTTTCTGTTTGATGATGGGACCCCTGAATCTGACCTCTGGACTCTCTTGGCCCCGACATTTGGGCTACACCATCGACCAAATGCTCAATGTGTTTTATTAGTGTTGTTTTTCCTGAACCGTTTGATTATCTGATCTGTGTTGGCGAATCAACAGCTTTGTAATGTCCTCTGAGATAACTACTGTTCACATAATCAGTCATGTGAGTATGTGCATAAGTCATAAAGGTCAAGGTATACGGATGAAACTCAGAGTATTTATTTCTGCCCTTCTTAAAATGTGAAGCCAACGTTTAACATTGTCTCATTAGATGCAAAGAGACGAGACATTTTGCCAAGACATTGTGTGTTATAATTTTAAAGTTTGTTTTCAAATTATGCTAAGAGATGTTTTATTTGTGGTTTTGTACTGTATACACTGTACATTATAACAAATGTAATGTTATAATGTTGTAATTAGTCTTTCAAATATAAATGTCTCATAAGTTATAAGCAAATGAACAATATTCTAAGTTTTTGTATATATTATTGTTCCAGTGTGGAAATTTGTCCTCTGTATTGGTGTAATAAAATCCATCTAAACTATAGTTCCTCCCTCTCGAAACAGTTTGGTTCTATCACTAGCTTTTACACAGCTGCATGTACAGTATTTCTGACTGTATCTTTAGATCTAATTTTTCAGAAAGAAAAGATAAAAAGAGAGGACCACCCTCACTCAGAACATCACCCAAGATGATAGACAATATGGCATATTGAATGTATTGTTTTAAGTGCAATCCCACCTTCTCCATCTCGAGCAGGTAAACGTCTATGTAGTCTCGAGGATCGTCCGGGTTTACATTCTCCTGATGGGTCTTTATTTCTTGCATCAGAAAATCCAAGATCTGAAAGTAGTTTTTGTGGACAGTCTGATGTGGACCAGGTAAGTGCTTCATTAGACTGGGGGCCACATCATACAGCTGCAGGGAAATGTAAAGAAGTGATTTGAGTGACAGATACAGTGGAGGATCTAGAGGTGAGCATATCGTAATAATCATCAAAATGTGTAACCCAGTTTAAACACCAAGCTGAAGGGTTTGGATATTTTGTGTTTTTTTCTCAGGTCAGGACTTACTTGGGCAATGGTGGAACCGGACAAAAGAACAGCCTCAGCGTCCAGCTGCAGAATCCTGCGAAAGCGCTCATCTGTGTACTCAAAGCGGTGTCCAAATACCACGGAGCTGATGATGTTACTCACAGCATTAGCGACAGTGGCCTGAGGGTTGAATGCTTTCCCTGGAATTACATTACAACTGTAGTTCACAGGATAGACCAGTGCTTCCAAACCGGGGGTATGTGGACCCCTCGAGGTACGCAGGGATATTGTAGAGGGTAATTAAAACTATTTCCAAGTTTTAACCTATACATTTAAAACAAACTCTATATTTTTAGCAAGTTAGCTCATGAATATTGAAAACATGATGCAATTAATAACATTAATACTGAGTCTTGTAGTCGCAAACTGATCTAAATTTTGGTCCAGTATTTTGTTCACGCCAAGCATGAACTTATTTTAACTCAAGTGAAATAAAAGTCAGTTGGTATAGATACCTACTTGTTACAATGAAGAAATAAATACAAACAAAAATGTGCTGAAAAACAAACTTTCCATAGAGAAAAAAATCCTTGTTAGAAAATGTATATAAAGTTGTGCCTCCAATCAAATAATAACATGACATCCCTTAACAGGGGATTGCAATCCTCACTGTCCTGGTGGTGACACGCCTTTGGTGTGGTGGTCCAATCACTGCTTCTTGACAGAGATATTTATATTATGTTATTACTTTGTTTGAAATATCACATAAAAACCCCAATTGATAAATCATTAGAAATATTTCAGCACCTCTCAAATACTGTCTCTTTGCTCCATTACCTTGCTCCTCTTTGAAGCTCTCGCACAGGAAAGTACATTCTTGTTCTATGTACTTCTCCAGGGTCTTCTGTCCATCCCCAAAGTAACGTAGATGTGTTTTGGCAAACTTCCTCTGCTTCTTCCAGAGGTAACCATTGCTCAACGCTATCCCTATATTAAAAGTGAGTTTATAATCCATTACACATACACACCTATGTTATTGTTGTGTTTACTGACCAATGCCTTTGAAAATGACATGAAACAGAGGGATTACGGGGCGCTCTGTGAAGCTGTCCAGCTGGTTGACCAGGGCCTCTTTGACCATCTTGTATCCAGAGACAAACACTAATTTGTCAGTGCCTCTCCGCAGACTGAAAATTGGCCCATAGTCCTCAGAAAGCTGGAAGGTAAATACTGTTATTTGACTTTTTAAATGCTAAGTAGTAGTGTTTGAATAATCAGTAAAAAGTTATTTTCAGAAAAAAACTGTTCTGATAATATAGGGGTGTGTTTATGTGTGAAAAAGTAATTAGCAGCACCCTATAACATTGGAGCTGATTGGAGCAAACCGATGTGCACATGCTGATTTGAAACCATTAAAATTGTACCAACAGTTCGATAAATATGGTGTGCAATATTTTTTTTTTGTACAGGGACATTGTACATAAAAAAGTAGCAATGAATTGGACCGAGTTATAGCAGGAGATGATGGTGTTACTAGTTGTGGCTTACTTTCAGATGAAAACAAAATGCAAGAGGAAGCCTTGTACCTTGTTGACTGATTGGAAGTCCATTCCAGTGAAAATGTTTCCAAGAAAAGGCACGCCTGGTGGTCCTGGTGGAAAGTTCTGTGGTCTCCCATTTTTTACAGCATCAACCAAAAGGAGAATGGCCAAAATCAAAATGCACCAACTCCAAAAACTCATACACTCAACAACAGTTTGTATTATCATTTTGCCTCAGCCCCACTGGCTCCGCAAAAGTGAATGAGCAAAGGCTGGAGGAATAACAGGAATTGTTATGTAAGCATGAGCGTTAACCATTTGGGACCTCAGGGTGAGAGGAGATGGCTGTTTCCTGAAGGGGCAGGGAGGCTGAGAAAAGGACTCAACCTCCAACTCACTAGAGCTATAAACTATCAAACTATCAATCAGCCTTATTAATGTAATCCTTATTTAACCAGAAATATCTCTTGAGATTCAAATATCTCTTTTCCAAGGGTGTCCTGGCCATAATACAACCCTCAAAACATTTCATATTGACCATTTACATTCTCAATGTATGTTTCACTAATTTGCTCAGCATTCATCTGTTTGGAGATTGTTCCCACTTAAAATTTGTAAACGTAGAGTAATCAGCCCGAGCTACAGGGTTCAAAAAGAGTCCAAACATCTGTTGGTACTTTAAAGGCATAAACTACACCATATGACAGCTCCCGGGTATAACTGAAGTTGAACCCTTTCCTTAGGTTAAGAGTAAGGACTAGGAATAAATATGAAAATAAAACTAGAATCAGTATAATCTTTTGGCTGCATAAAAATGCATTTTACCCAGTCACCTCCACAATCATCAAGTATTCAACTATACCTTTAATCTCTTCTAATGAGCCTTTGTCAGCTGTCATCCATCATGCAGCCATGTCTCAGATAAGCGGGTTACTTACGTAATGATGAGAAGGCAAAATCTGTCCTTTTGTTTGTTTGGTTTGAGCTCTTTTGAAAGTTGAGAAATCTAAAACCTCCCTCACACAAAGAACCAAACTCTCTCATTAGATCAGCAGTTATAAAGGATAATTAATAATTAAATATTTGTAAGAAATCATTTTAAAGTGAGAAAAGCATCATTCTTAAAAACAAGCTGAGGCAAAGACCCGCCTACAAAAAGAATGTTTGCGTAATGTTTGCGTGAGTGTGAGAGCAGATGTTAGTCTGCAAAGAGAGAAAAGAGGAACACCCCAACGCTCAGAGATGGAGCTTTTGTTCCAGGTGCTGGGGCTGGAGTGGCTTGATTATAAGACTATTCTGATATTTTTATTTCTTTTTGCCCTTTTTACTGAGGTTGTTAAAAACTGGCGCCCTGAAGACTACCCTCCCGGACCGTGGCCAATCCCTTTCATTGGAGATGTAGCTCGCATCAATCCTTCAAGAATTCACCTGGATTTTGCTCAGGTGAGCTCCCCACACACCGAACACCAGCACAGGAAAGGAAGCTGTGTTCTTTTCGTCTTTGAATAAAGTTTACTATGAGCCTGACTCCTACTCTGCTTATATTTATAGTTGGTTTGGATGGTTTTTGTTTAGATTTTCTCTCCATTGTCTATTCACAACAAATACTTTTCATACCTACTCTAAAGCTTATAGCTGAGGGGCATGTATGGAATTGCTCATATACACAAGTGAATTTAACTCAAATTAAACATATTGACGTTGTATTTCAGACCTGGGGGATTTCTTTGTTTCCAGATGGGACATTTTGTTACATAGCATGGATACATGTAACTATTTCCATAGAGAATGTTTTACCTTCTATTTTAAATGAATGCGATGTCCATGCCTCAGAAAGTCACACAGTTTGGCATGAAGTCTACTGACCATAGGTTGTGAAACTTGAGCTCTGCTGATAATGCAACTTTATGGGGCTTTGAATGGGGCTGCAGAACTTTGCCCCATTCACCTGTTGTCACAGATACAAAAGCACTTCGGAGGGAAAGGTGAAGTTGCAAGTTAATTATGAACCTACATACGGGTATAAGCTGTATACATGACCTCTCCACCAAACCACAACAAACATTGAATATTATATATATTACTAGTTTCAACCCCATTATGGAAAATGTAGAAGTTCCTTGTGGTCAGGTTAACGAATGACAACAACAATCTCTTAAAGGAGGATTCAAAAAATGAACTAAGCTCGCTTGTTTTAACTTTATTGTATGATTTAAATTTTTGCAGCATTTTTTTTTCTGGAAGAAATAAGTTACTTTAAAAAAAAGAATTTATACAACTCAAAATTGTTTTACAAATCACTGAAGACAATGAAGAGATAATGGCACAGGGAAGTCTAAACTAAAAGTATTTTGTTTACAAGGATTGGGAGAAAGCTGCTTCCCTTGCAGGGGAACAGGTGCCGCTGCGAGTGAATAAATAATAAATATATTATATTACGGCGCCTGAAAGTGTAGGGTTTTGAAAGATTTGGCCACAATCCTGGCCTGAAACACAGTATGTATATTTTATTAAACCTTTATTTAAACTGGAAATACTCATTGAGAATCTGCTTTAGGTCAGTTTAGTTTGAACAAAAGTATTTCTGTTTGATAAGATAATACCCAACATCTCAAACACATTGTTTTCTTGTTTGGCTACATAGAAAAACCAGGAAATGTCAGGAGGAGACTTGTGGTACTCCATTACTCTGGTTCATCATCCGTCCAAATCCTCGTACATCTTTGAGTTGGGACACAAACTAACAAAATAGAGAAGGAAATAAACATAAACTTATTTTATTTGTTAAACATTGAATAGTTGTTGAGTACCTCTAAAACAGGTTGTGGGTGTTTCCACAATGTTTCCTCCGCAGTTGGCAAAGAAGTATGGGAACATCTTCAGCCTTCGTTTGTTTGGAGGTCGGATGGTGGTGATAAACGGATACAAACTGGTGAGAGAGGCTCTGTCCGTCAGAGGAGACGACTACGCCGACAGACCAACGCTACCTATTTTTGAGGATCTGATTGGAAATGGAGGTGTGTGGTTATTCAAAAAATCATTGGGTTTTTTATTCATGATGAAACAATAGTGTTTTTTTTCAGGTCTTGTGGCTTCAAATGGATACTTGTGGAAGCAGCAGAGACGCTTTGCTCTTCACACTCTTAGAAACTTCGGTCTGGGCAAGAAATCTCTGGAACCGGCCATTCAACAGGAGTGCCAGTACCTCGCTGAGGCTTTTGCTCAACAGAAAGGTACGACCAACATTTTCTTTGCTTTTCAGTCTAAAACACTTGCAAGGTCAGTTTGTTTGTAAAATCAGGTCAGTTTGATGTGAAGGTATGAAAACTGAATTAGGTCGGAAATGACTTTAACCGTGTGGGAGAGTAAGTAAGTAAGTAAGTAGAGGGGAGGTGTGCTCACAGGCAGAGGAGCACAGATCCACAAGAAATGGTTATAAGTTTAAAGTGTATGGTGTATCACTCACATTATTATCATACGTGTGCTTAGGATGGACTGTAAAAAATGAAGAAGAGTGAAATATGGCACCTTTAACATGTCCTTTTGTAGCAAGTTGTACGGTATATGTCTGACAGTTATTCTCAAGACCTTAACAATATCCTGTTTTATATTTCTTTGTGGCAGGTCGACCCGTTGACCCTCAATTACATATAAACAAGGCTGTGTCCAACATCATCTGCTGTTTAGTGTTTGGGGAACGTCTGGAGTACAACAACAAGCTACATCAGAAGATTTTGCTGGATTTCAAGGAGCTTCTCCTGGTGGAGGGCAGCATCTGGGCCCAGGTCAATTGAATGCTTTCAATACCAAAAAACAAGCTGTCAGTCTTTAACATCTATTTATATTGTATAGATATATAATGTTGCCCCCTGGCTGATGAAGCGGCTTCCTGGACCTCACCAAAGAATTTTCATTCTTACTCAAAACATAATTGACTATGTTCAGAGTAAGATTGATGAGCACAAAGAAAGCTTTGATCCGTCCAATCCACGAGACTACATCGACTGCTTCCTCGCAGAAATGGCAGAGGTAATTACACCAGCGCCGGACACACATTTAGAAGATAAGAGTAAAGGATGCACTTCTACATAATACGTTATCTGACTGTGTAACCACCCCTAGTGCTTTCGCAGTTCTTGTTGTTGGATATATCATCAAAGTTTTCTTACAGACCCATGGTCCAGGACTAGACAAACACATCACACAAAAACACAAAACAACACATATATAATCACACAATAAGCCTCACTCCACAGAGCAAACAGCCGTACCAGTGTCTCCGCGGATCTGACTGGTACCATGTGGCACTGAATTTGACATTTGGGTGGCCATTGGTCAAAAGTGCGACACATTAGTCGAGACCGAGACGAGCGAAAATAAATATGTTTTCACACGCCTTCTTTGTAGTGATGAAGCCCCGTAACACACCGAGACCGGAGCCTCTGAGCTAGCTCATACTCGGTTGTAACACTGACATCTAGTGAACAAATTCAATCATTTCCTCATGAAACATAAATGTTGGAATGTTAAATATTTCAACATATTTCAGCCTTTATCTGACTGACAGTTGTATTGATCACTAAACCTGCATTGACTTGCAGTTTGTTTAATTGAAAGTTGCTACTATACAGTATATCAAGCTAATTATGACAGGATTTTGTAACTTAGTGTTAAATCAATAATCAGTAATCCAGTACCTGGACAAAGACAACAAAATCAGACAAGGATACATTTTTACTTGCAACGCAAGGAGCGCCTGCATGGTCACGGCACATCTCTGATTTTGGGTGCTGTGACCTTGCGTGCCCTGAACTCACTTTATTGTCACTCCAAAGATTCCATATGCCCTAAACCATTATTCTGTTGACACAGTTCAAACATTTTAGCCTAAAAAGGTTTCAAGTCTTATTTCCCGCTGACAACCCAAAAATTGCACTTTAGCAAAGTCACTTCACAACCCAAACTAGTGGCACACAGACATCCATTAACAATGCAAACATTACTCTTCCCTTACTTTTTTTTCGTACTACTGCTGCTAAAAAAAATAATATCAATAATAATAACAATTGCTTTACTAGTTTTAACTAAGAGTAATGGCTATAACAACTTTGGTATATAACTTTCATAATCCTATAGAATGTAATAACTATACTATATATTTAAATTATATAACGATGATAAGAATAATAATAATACTTGTATTATACTATTTGGCTATTAATACTACTGCGAAACCACGATGTTATGAATACTGTATGATAGATATGCATATGTACACACCTTTATATAAAAAACACATAGATATATACATAGTCAACTAGTTATATAAACATATGAACACAGTTATATATATATGTATACCCATTAGAAGGATTTTTAACAAATAAGTACATATTTAGAATTACCTGGCAGTGGGGTGGAGTGATTTAAGAAGTGGTGACCAGGGACAGAGGGATTCTGCTGTGGGATGGTTTTCGGATGATATGTGATCATTTAGCATGTTTTTCCATATTGAAATGTTTATTTTTTTCCTTGATTTCCAGTTCATAAGGATGGTTTTCTTGGCGATGGCTAGCGCCACTAGGAGGATGTTTGTGTTTGGTTGTGTAATGTTTAGCTGAGTGAGATCGCCTAATAAGCAAAGTGATGGGGACATTGGGATGTGGCAGCCTAGAAGTGAGGAGATAGAAGATGTGACTGCTTTCCAGAATTCTAAAATGGGTGGGCATTGCCAGAGGGCATGAATATAGGTGTCAGAAGTGTTTTGAGTGCAATAGGTGCAAGTGTCCTGTGAGAAACCCATTCTAAACATTCTATGGCCTGTGTAGTGTGTTCTGTGTAGGATTTTGAACTGTATCAGCTGTAAGTTTGTGTTTTTTGACATGGAGTACATATTTTGACAGATTTGTGTCCAGGAACTGGCATCGAGAGCTAATCCTAGATCTTCTTCCCATTTTGTTATAGGTAGATATATTTTATTGTCAGATTGTAATATAATTTTGTAGATCTTTGAAAGGAGTTTTTTTGTTGAGGTGATATTGACCACATCTGTTGTGAATGAGGGGAGTTCTAAGTTGATGGTAGTGTTTGAAAATGCAGAGGTTATGGATGATGTAAGCTGAAGGTATTTGAGGAATTGTTTGCTCTCGATGCCATGTTCCTGGACAAGATAAGAAAAGGGGACCAGTTTATTGTGGTGGATAATGTGTTTTAGGTGGGTGATTCCTTTTTCGGCCCACACGGAGAAGTTCATGGTTTTTTTATTGCTGAGGAAGTCAGGGTTGTGCCAGATTGGAGTATGATCGGATGGAGTTATGTTACTATTAGTTAATTTGTGAGATTTCCACCAGGCTGTCAGAGTCAATGATATTGTCAGAGATTTAAAAGGGGAGTGTTTTTTGATTGAGGGGCTAAGGAATGGAAGGTCTGAGATTATATATGGATTGCATAAAGCTTGCTCGACGTCCAGCCATGTGATATCTGAGTTTTGGGGGTGGATCCATTTGAAGATGTATTGTGTCTGATTTGCAATTGAGTATATATTGAAGTTGGGTGCTGTAAGTCCACCTTTAGTTTTTGGTTTTTGTAATGTGCTTAATTTAATTCGGGGTGGTCTGTTATTCCAGTAAAATTTTGAAATTGTAGAGTCCAGGGCTGAGAACCATGATGAAGTGGGATGGGTTGGGATCATGTTAAAGAGGTAATTAATTTTAGGGAGAATCATCATTTTAACTGTATTTATTCTGCCAATTAGTGAAAGCGGTAGGTTTGTCCAGCGGGATAAGTTGTCATTTATTGTTTTGAGTAGAGGGGTAAAGTTTAGATTTATCAACTCAGACAGCCTGGAGGGAATCCTCACGCCGAGGTAGGTGATACAATCTGTTGTGCAGATAGGGATTGGGGGTAAATAGGTTGCCACATCCCAATGGTCTTTTTGGAGGGGAAGCATTGAAGACTTGTGCCAGTTGATGGAATAGTCCGAAACTTTTGAGAATCTTTCTATTAGATGTATTGTTTGGTTTAGTGAAGATTGTGGATTTTGTAGGAACAGGAGTATGTCGTCTGCATATAGGCTGATTTTATGGTGATGCTTCTGTGTTTGTAAACCAGTGATGTTAGGATCCATGCGAACGGCTGCAGCTAGTGGTTCGATGAAGATAGTGAAGAGAAGGGGGGAGAGTGGACAGCCCTGCCTGGTACCTCTGTGGAGGTTAAAGCTCTTTGACATTTGGCCATTGGTGGTTATTATAGCAGTGGGTGAGGTATATAGGATCTTGACCCAGTTGACAAATGACTCCCCAAAACCAAACTTACCTAGTGTGGAGAAAAGGAATGACCAATTGACTTTATCAAATGCTTTTTCTGCATCTAATGTGACTATGGTGGCTGGTATTTTATGCTGTTGAGTATAATCTATAATGTTTAGCAGTCTACGAGTGTTGTTAGAAGAGAGCCTGCCTTTAATGAAACCGGTTTGATCTGAGTGGATAATGGTTGGGAGGATTTTTTCCAGACGGTGGGCTAGAGTTTTTGTGATGATTTTAAGATCGACATTCAAAAGTGAAATAGGGCGGTAACTGGAAGGAAGTGTGGGGTCTTTGTTAGGTTTTAGAAGTAATGTTATTATGGCTTGATTCATTCTGGCAGGGAGAATGGAAGTTTGTTGTATTTCTTCAATCAATCTTAGAAACAAAGGGTTTAATATGGACCAGAAGTGTTTGAAGAACTCAGCAGGGAAGCCATCCGGACCTGGAGATTTATGACTGGGCATTTTTTTAAGTGAGTTATAAAGTTCATTTTCCCGGATCGGTCTATTAAGGATTTGAATTTGATCCGAGTTAAGTTGAGGGAGATTAATGTTGTCAAGAAAAACATCTATGCTTTCCTGAGATGGTTTATTTTCTGATGCATATAAAGTACTGTAATAATTTTTAAAAATATTGTTAATTTCCTGTGGAGACTGTGTTGACTTCCCTGCTGAGATGGCAGTAACAATTACAATATCTATATGACATTTAAAGGGAAGGGAAGAAGAAAGGAAGGGAAAAAGGGACAGGGAAAAAAGAACAAAACAAAAGAACAAGGGGAAGGGAAAAGAAAAAAAAAAAAAAAAACTGGGCTCCCTCATCTGCACCTTGCTCCACCCCTTGGGTTTTTAATGCACCACATACAACACAATGTTTTTAATGCACCACACAAGAGCACAGGTGCAGATTGGGGTTCTGACATTTGAAAAAGTATACCTTACTATTTATAAATAATCTTATAATGAGTAATTGATTGACTGCGGAACCTTCCGCAGTCAACCATTGGTTTTGTATTTCTTTATTCCGTCATTTTTTTTGACACGTTTCACAGCTTTCACATTTTCAACAATTTCCACAAGTTATACATCAAAACGTTCCACATGTTTGGGAGATTATTGCTATTACTTTTGGGACTTCAGCGATTTCCGGTTTTTCCGCAATCGGACAAAAATCTGCATTGAGAATTCTGCAATGCATTTTAATAGGCCCATGCATTTTAATAGGACTTCAGCTCTTTCAGACATTTCTACAGTTTCAATGATTCAACAGTTTCAAGGATTCAACAGTTTCAAGGATTTCAGCAGTTTCAAGATTTCAAGAGTTTCAAGGACTTCAACAGTTTCAAGGACTTCAGCAGTTTCAAGGACTTCAGCAGTTTCAAGGACTTCAGCAGTTTCAAGGACTTCAGTGTAATCATGCAACCTAATAGGGATTTTTCCATGTAAACCAGTATAATGCAACTTAATAGGGATTTTTCCATGTAAACCAGTATAATGCAACTTAATAGGGTTTTTTCATGTAAACCAGTATAATGCAACTTAATAGGGTTTTTTTTCATGTAAACCAGTATAATGCAACTTAATGGGGATTTTTCCATGTAAACCAGTATAATGCAACTTAATAGGGGTTTTTACATGTAAACCAGTATAATGCAACTTAATAGGGTTTTTTCCATGTAAACCAGTATAATGCAACTTAATAGGGTTTTTTCCATGTAAACCAGTACAATGCAACTTAATAGGGATTTTTCCATGTAAACCAGTATAATGCAACTTAATGGGGATTTTTCCATGTAAACCAGTATAATGCAACTTAATGGGGATTTTTCCATGTAAACCAGTATTATGCAACTTAATAGGGATTTTTCCATGTAAACCAGTATAATGCAACTTAATAGGGATTTTTCCATGTAAACCAGTATAATGCAACTTAATGGGGATTTTTCCATGTAAACCAGTATTATGCAACTTAATAGGGATTTTTCCATGTAAACCAGTATAATGCAACTTAATAGGGTTTTTTTCATGTAAACCAGTATAATGCAACTTAATAGGGTTTTTACATGTAAACCAGTATAATGGAACTTTATAGGGGTTTTTACATGTAAACCAGTATAATGGAACTTAATAGGGGTTTTTACATGTAAACCAGTATAATGCAACTTAATAAGGATTTTTACATGTAAACCACTATAATGTAACCTAATAGGGGTTTTTACATGTAAACCAGTATAAAGCAACTTAATAGGGATTTGTACATGTAAACCAGTATAATGCAACCTAATAGGGATTTTTCCATGTAAACCAGTATAATGCAACTTAATAGAGATTTTTCCATGTAAACCAGTATAATGCAACTTAATAGGGATTTTTCCATGTAAACCAGTATAATGCAACCTATTACGGATTTTTCCATGTAAACCAGTATAATGCAACCTAATAGGTTGCATTATACCACCAGACCAAGACCCAAACGAAGACTCAGACCACCACCAGATAATGACCACAGACCAGGTTTCCTTAGTTACAGGAACCAAATTGTTTCAGCGGTGAGGGGATTTTTCAGTTTCAAGGACACTTTCAATACATTCAGTAGTTTCAAGGATTTCAACTGTTTAAGAATTTAACCAGTTTCAAGGATATCAGGAGGTTCAAGGATTTCAGGAGTTTCCACACTTTCAACAGTTTCCAGGTTTAAAAAAGTTTCAAGGATTTCAGGAGTTTCAATGTTTCAACAGTTTCAAGGATTTCAGGAGTTTAAAGGTTTCAACAATTTCAAGGACTTCAGGAGTTTCAAATATCTATCAAGTATTTTAACAGTTTCAAGGCCTTTTAAAGGATTTCAAGGATTTTTTTTAGCAGATTTCCACATTAGATCTGTTCCGCAGTCAATCGCAATGGCTTCAGCCATTGCAAGTTTCTAGTTTATTTATAAATATTTAACAATAGTGAGTGTATGTAAGTATGTGTATATATGCATGTATATATATATGTATACATATATTTAAATACTACATTGATGTGTATATAAATTACAAAAATACACACTAAGAATAACAATCTGATTCAGTAAAGCTGATAATGCTGCTGCGGCTACGTGACTTTCCCGTGTATTGAACTGTCTTATCTATTAATTATTATCATCTATATGTGTGGGTACGTGTGTATGTATGTATGTATATGCGTAGGTATGTTTATTTATATATGTATATATGTGTATTTCTTTATTATTATTATTACTGTTTCATTTGTTTTTTTTTTTTATGTCAATATGTGCCCTGCCTGTCACTACTTCACATCGCCATCTCTTCCCCATTATTGCAATACTATGTCCTTTCTATTATATTCTTACTATTACTATGCTCTGATATTATAATTATAATTACTTAACTCATATTATTACTGTCATCACTACTCTCATTATTATTACTATAATGGCAAATATGTCACTATCTCTATTTTTGTTTATTTCACTCATCAAAGCTTATCTAAGAAATTGACTCATGTAACATACACCTGAACACACTACACGCGCACTACACACATCCAGACACTACACGCATCCAGACACTACACACATCCACTATGCACAGCCACCATAGGCCCGCGGGGTCAATTTGTATCGGTCTAGCCCCCTTCCCTTTTGTGTTGCTCCCCAGTATGTGTGTTTTGTAAAGCTTTGTTTGTATGTTTGCATGTATGTATAAAAAAAAAAAAAAAAAAAAAAAAAAAAGAAAGCCAAACTTCAGACACAGGAGTTGGTAAAAGATGTTGGCGCTATTAGAATGTTGTTCAAGATACAATTCAACCGACATTATTAAACCATACGACTCATTACACACAGTTAGATTAATCTGTTTATTCTTATGTTGAAAACTGTCTTGTAAAAACTTCAAATAAAAATATCCAAAAATGTGAAAAAAAAAAAAAAAAAAAAAAAAAACAATGCAAACATTAAAGACAACGGTTAGCAAGTACCCATTGACCTCTATCACAGTGAACCTTGACAACACAGTTAGACAGTTAGTTTAAAGACAATGCATTAAATAACGCAAATTGATTATAGCGGTATTATCACAACTCAGTACTCCTGGGAAAACCATAACAACGCTCAAAAGCTTGTCTGCCTTTGAGGTCTTGCTTCTTCAGTTGGTCGTACATCCTCCATACATTTGACAAACATCCACCAGTCGTGGAGTTGACCAGAGTTGACCACAGCATATTGAAATGATATTGATATATTAACAGGACCATTTTTAATTGAAAAAAATGCACCCTGCTTCACACGCATTCCTCGATGAGAACAACAATTATAAATGTGTACTTTTTCTATGCAATTTGGGCTCAGATTGTCTAGTTTGGTCTAAAAAAGGAAAATGATGTGAAAAGTTGTGGAAAATGAAAAAAGAAGTTCTCAAATGTATTCTCAACATCAGTACAGCGTTAAATTTTAATTAATTTGTTTTGTAACATGAAACGGTAGAATTCTTCTTTCAACGAAAGTTCACTTTTGGGTCAAGTGTGGTGTGTGATCTGTGGTCTCAATTTCCTGTAGTGTTCAGAATAGTGGGCACACAATAATTATTTATTTTGTTCATGTAGGCCACAAATGTGTGTATTTCTGTCTACTGTCAAACAATATTCCATGTTGTGTGTGTTTCACTCATAGAAAGAAGACAAAGAGGCAGGATTTGATCAGAAGAATTTATGTCTATCTGCTATGGACTTATTTGTCGCTGGGACAGAGACCACTACAACATCACTGAATTGGGCGTTACTGTTTATGATTCACTACCCCCACATCCAAGGTGAGTGTGTGTCCAGAGAATCTCACTCATGACAAACATTACATACAGGAACACACTTTTGAGCAGTTTTGATAAATGCCGTCAGCTCCAGGTCCTAACTGGGGTACCCAACTTGTTTTGTTTAATACATAATACCTTTTGTTGGTGAACAAATAAGACCACAATGTGCTGCATTTCTGTATTTATTCCCATGTTCTTTTGCATAATGATTTGGGCTGAGAGCTGACTGGCTGAGTGGCCCTCTCTTTTTTCAATTTTTCTTACTTTTATTAATTACAGTGCTTGTTTACACTCCCAGGCAGGTTTTTTCTCTCATTGTTAGGTTCCTTGAACCCATATTGTCCAATAAATGTGTTTTATATTTTCAAACTATACTGACAGCAGAAATAACCTTCTGATTCTGATGTAGAAGTCTCCATCCCCCAGTTCTCAATAGCGATATGGCCCCTTTAACATCTGTGACAGCTTGGAGTCTTTTGTGGTAGTTTATCCTCTGATGAAGCTGCAGCCTCCAGAAACATACAAACACATTTATTTGACCACATATGGCTTCACACAACCACTAACTACTCTGATTTTGTGTTATCATTCAAAGCAACTAGCTGTACATCTGAGTGTGAACTTCCCAGCACTATTGGGGATTTCTCCTGGTTTGGAAGTTTGTTTGGTATACTCCCGCTTTTAGTCTGATCAGTTGTTTTTGTTTTAGAGAAGGTCCAGGCTGAGATTGATGCGGTGGTGGGTTCGTCTCGTCAACCCTCTATGCAGGACAGAGACAATCTCCACTTCACAAACGCTGTCATCCACGAGGCCCAGAGAATGGGTAACATCATCCCTCTCAACGTGGTGCACATGACCACCAAAGACACCACTCTGGAGAATTACACCATCCCCAAGGTGCACAGCAATAGTTTCATAGTTTACATATAATTAAACTATATTAAAGCTTTATCTTTTCTGCTTAGGGCGTCATGGTTATTGGAAACCTCGATTCTGTGCTGAATGACAAGACAATGTGGGAATCTCCAGAGACCTTCAATCCTCAGCACTTCTTGGATGAAAATGGGAAATTTAGGAAGAGAGATGGCTTCCTGGCCTTTTCTATCGGTTAGTCATAGATTCAATTTGTTTTCTTACAAGTACTGATGAAGGAACTGTTTATACTTCATTAGACATTAGGCTATGTCACTGAAAGATTCTCGATTGAACAAATGAAAGTATTTCAATTTTCCAAAGTGCCTGTAGTTCAACACAACTCTCCTGATCATGGTCACTGTTCTAGACTTTGTTTATATACAATATATGTTCTATGTAATCAATCATATATATCAACTATGGTCTAATTATCTTAAGGTGTCTAGAATTGGTGACAATATTTTCTTTTACAGTAGAAAAGGCTTAATCACTATCAAATAATGAGCCGGGAGAACATTTACTTCAAAAATTGCTTCCTTCCCGTAAAGTTGTATTGGCCTATTGACCACAACAATTAAGATATAAATATTTGTGTCAGTTTTCTGTTCCTTAAAACATTTTAAACAGTTTAAAGTGAGCTTAAGATAATAAAGTGTGCCCTAACATTACTGTACATTTCGGAAGTGAATGAGAGATTGAACCCTGAAAATGACTGCTCTTGTGTTGCCAGGTAAGCGTGTGTGTCTGGGAGAACAGTTGGCCCGGATGGAACTGCTCTTGTTTTTTACCGGGCTCCTGCAGCGTTTCACCTTCTCTGCACCCGAAGGAAAGATGCCGCCGCTGGAAGCCTGCATGAGCTTGGTACGCACGCCCAAGCCCTACCACCTTTGTGCCAGCTTGAGATAATCTGCATTTCAATTACCACTATTTTAAAGCATTCTATCTGCTTTATTTAGGAATAAACCAAGGATTTCAATTTGATGTCAATATGACCCGAATCAATTCTGATCCAGGAATAAACAGCAAAAAATAATAAGTAATACAGACTGTGGAGTGTTGTTCCGTAGCTTCAGGAAAACGATTAGTGGTTTTACTTTTTTATTTTGCTAAAGAGAAATACAAGATCAAAGGCCCTTTGTGAACCACACATACTATGTCTTTTTATTTAGTTATTGTATAAAAACAATTAATCAATAAATATAAAAATATCTGTTTTATCTTGCATGTAGCATGTAATTCCGACAAACTTTGGAATATGACCCTCTTGGCTTTTTAGTGACATAACTAGCGTGATGTGGGGTTTCCCTCAATTTACAAGTAAATGGAAAATAATCTTTTTCTTTAAATGTTTGCTTGTTGTTTTCACTTACAATATATCTTTGAAAGAGTTTTCCTCGATCTACACCAAAGCAGATCGTTTTTGTTACAAATTGTATGAACATGAAGTAGAATGGGAGATAAAAAGATCAAACAGTTTGGTTGTCGTCATAGTGTTTCCTTTTGCATGTGCAGTGCACCATATTTCATGAGCACGATCTAAATGTTTCACCTGAATTTGAAGTCTCACCGTCACCGCTGAATGAAGACGTGTCACAGCAGTGCTGTGGATTTGAGCTGTGGCCCCAAGTAGGTCAGTGACCTCTTTAAGATGTTTCACACTGACGAGCTTTTCAAAAGAAGTCACATTCTCACACTGGCTTTCTGCCTGGATACAACTGTGTCACTCTTTAAGGTAGTTTGGATCATTATTATGGAGCAATTTGCATTCTTTCAACAACATTTTTCTCCAAAAAAACACAAATCTGCTGGAGCACAGCGAGAGGATGATTTTTAATGCCAGCAGAAATGAGGGAGCTATGTTAAAAAGATCCAAAAAGTGAATTTAAGAAGAACCCAGTTGTACCTGGTCATGAGTTGCTTGGAGCTAAAGGATGATCTGAGATGCCTCCGGTCAATCGAATTGGACAAACCTCACTCTTCTTTTATTTCATATGTAAGTATTTAAGCTTTGTATGTTTGCATTTACAACTGAACCAACAATAAAACAACTAAGTCTAGTTTAAGACAAGGTCAACCTAGACCGGATTTGGACAAAAACAGGACTGATGAATAGTTATATATTTTCAAAACCAATAAAACCAAAGACAGTCACAAACTCAAAACGTATCTGGTCTTGTCTATAGAAATTGTTTTTGAGGTTGCAGTGTGCATTAGTTCAGGTATTGGCTTTGTTTTGTAAAATTAACATTTAACATTCACCCCTCAAAGGTCCTTCTGTATGTGAGTTATCTCACCATATGAACGAGCACTATCACATTAACTCATGGTTTCTTCATGACTCTCATTTGCAGACTGGAGCTTGCTTCCCTCACTCAGCAGCATCACGTTTGAAAGTCTTGGATCTTTGACTGTAGAACCGTCTGTTCCTTTCCTCATGGGCTCGAACCTCACTCTGTACTGTAACGTGGAGAACTGCCCACACCAGTGAGTTGGAAAAGTCCTTCTTAAACTGGTCACTATGAACCAGTTTTTACAACAAAGTGATACAACTAAAAGTTCTAAGTTCATTCAATTACTGTCCTACTGTGTTGATCCTCTTGTTGGTCGAAAGGGTGTATTTATTTGGTCTAAGGGTGGCGTAAGACAGTGTTTCCCAACTGGGAGTATTTGGACGCCTATGGGTACACGAGGGTATTACAAAGAGTGATTTAAATGACTGACATGTTATATATGATTTTAAAGCTAATTCAATAAAACAACCATATAGTAATATTATTAGATCAGTCTGAAAATCATTCCTACTTTTGGTCCAGTTTTGGTTCTGTATCCATGTATGTACTCATTTTGTTCATGTTGTAGGCAAGGGTTAATTCAAGAAAATAGGTAAGGCAAGGCAAGTTTATTTGTATAGCACAATTCATACACAAGGCAACTCAAAGTGCACATTAAATTATCACCAGCAATGACACTCCCAAAAGAGGAGAAAGGAAAAGGACACACAGGTGCAGGTGTAAAGCTAAAATGTGCTTGCCAATTTGTACCCTCTGACCACCACCTCACACATGCATAAGACTGATACTAAGCCATTTTAGAGCCATTGTTAGAGCAAGTATTCTCAGCGGTCTCCCATCCATGTTCTAACCAGGCCCTGACTTGCTGACCCTCTGAAGGCTTTGATAAGCATAGGAAGGATGAACCTGATGTGGAACCTTTGATATCAGGGAAATCATGTGACAACTTCCATCTTGTCTTTGTTTCTGTCTCGTCTCCAGGACAGATGTATATTTAGAAATTGCTCATGAAAAAGAAAGAGTGTTGCCGTTTAAGTTCATCAACTGCACGGCCATTTTCTCACTGACCAATGTCCGAGAGCCACTGTTTAATGTCTTCTGCAAGATGCAACATCCTGGCACCGATTACTATGTCACCGGGATAACTCTACAAAGTGGCTGTATGTGCTTTTCAATCTAAGATGCTAGTAGCTAATTGAGATGTTGTTACAATTATTATTATTTTGTTGAAGTGCCACCAGGTAAACCCTTCAACATCAGCTGTGAAACAACAAGAAGTGCCGAGTTTGTTGACTGCAAATGGGAAAAAAGAAAGAACACGCATGTTCCCACTACATACAACATTTCAGTCAACATGTAAGATCTCTTTTCTTAGGGCTGCATTGAAGAACGACTTGTTTAACCCAGTATTAAAATCCACATATTTGTTTTGCAGAGAAAACGGTTCTTTGATTTACTCTCTCACTATGCAAGAGGACAAAGCTTTCTCAATACCTCCAAACATATTTGGCGATAATCTCACTTATCTGATGACTGTTTTTGCCCACAACCACTTTGGACAGTCTCGTTCGGATCCACTGATCTTCACCCTCAGTGATATTGGTGAGAAATGAAACTGTTCAATCAATCTTATTTGTAGAGCGCCTTTCATACACAGGGCAACACAAAGCACTTCTCAGTCCACAACACACAAGGCACAAATCATCAAATAAAACAAACAAAATCACAATTTGAAACACATTTATAAATCACAGGTAATTAAAACCATTATATCATTAAAATAAATAACCACAGTGCATAAAAAAAGAGATAAAATCATTCACTGTTCAATATTTGTCATTTTTTACAGTGATCCCTGAAAGGCCTAACATTACACAAATAGACTTTAAGAATGGCACTTTGGTGGCTGTGTTGGGATGGGAAACCACGGAACCATCCACAGATCTAGAGCCATTCATCAGAGTTCAGACAGCTAACAAGATCCAGGTAAGTGCATTTTTTTCATTAATAATACATATTGATTTTTCTAATGGAAAGAGTCTTGTTAAAGTAAAATTATGATTAATTCTTGTATGAAAACCTGTTTCTACATACTATATTACATTATGGGCTGAGAAATGATTGGTTGAGTGAGGTTTGTCACTTTTCTGTCCAAATAAGATGATCTAAAGATGACAATTAAAGGCCAAGAACCAAACTGTTTTGAGAGCTAAGAACTAGTTACATGGATTTCAATATATTGTTAAATGTTTGTGGTCTGTAAGTTAGGTACCTCAGCTTTAATTGTTAAATGTACTTTTCAACGCACAGAGCTGCTTTTTCTGCTTTACAGATTGAGGCAAATGTACTGAACATTGGAAATGGTTTTGCTCAAATCAGCGGATTACGTGCTCTAACAAACTACGAGTTTCAAGTTAAAATATGCAGAAAGAAATTTCATCAACATGATGATAATTCACCCACTTTAAGGAAACGGGTTTGCAGCAAATGGAGCCAATCTTTTCTGACACAAACTCCTGGCAAAGGTATGTACTTTAATTTGGGGAACATTCAAGGTTATTATTATTTTGGTTTTTATAAGTATTATCACACTGTTAAAGACATTGTATTATTTATGATGTAAAATATTACTCAGTTGACAGTTTTATTTGTTATCATAGTTCAAACGCAAGGAAGCGCATTGTTGTCGCACAAATGTAGAAAAAAGAAAATCTCATAATTATGTGATTTTTGAAAATTTGTTTCATTGTTTTTTGTTTGTTTTACAATTTGTGTATGTGTGTGTGTGTGTGTGTGTGTGTGCGTGTGTGTGTGCGTGCGTGTGACAACAATGCTCCTTTATACAAACAACAAATACCAGATTTTCCTAAGTGTAAATAAGCATGTGTGTTTGTGTGTGTGGCTGGCTCTCTTCAGTAGTTTATCTATAATGTGTCCCTTACAAGTGCTCTCCAAAAAAAGAAAAAAATAACAAATGTAATATATTCTGTGAGACCTCTTACATTGCATATGTTTTTGCACAGGACCTTCACAGGCGCTGCATGTTTGGAGGGATTCAGTGATCACAATGAAAGACGTGGTGACTGTGGTGTGGGAGGTACAAACACCAACTAACCATAAATCATAAATAACTTGGTAAATTGTAATTGTGGATTGTGTTCGGTTCAGCCTCTTCCTTCACACGACTACAGTGGTGCGGTCTGTGGATATGAGGTTTTTCTGGGCGATGGACAAAAACAGAACCATAACTGTTGCTCGGCGACAGTGCCTTTGCTACAACCAATCAGTGTCACTGCTGTTACTTCATATGGGACGTCCCCGCCTGCTACTGTCCCCCTCACACAGTCAGGTGCGACTCACAGAAGAAAACATGTTGGAAGATAAATAGAATAGTCAACTTTTTGTAACTTTTTGGCAGTATTCGTCTTTGTGCTGTTGAGGTTGAGTGGATGTTGTTCATTCTCAAACTACATTGGACTTTCAAAATCTGCTTTATCATAATCATGTGTATGTATTTATCTGAAACATATACAGAAACACAGAAAAATATTCAAAAAAGTAAGTGCCTGTACATGGTTTGAAAAGGGAATGGATGAAGCCAAAACCTCATATTAATCCAATCCTCTCCCAGCCATTCACTGCAATTCATTATAATGTTCAAGAATCAAGAATTCATTTGCCATTTGCACTAAAACCACATTGGAAAAACTGTGCAAGACAATCCCAGTGTGCACCAGAAAGTACACACCAGCGCTCCTGCCACGGCACCAACTTTCTGGCACCATTTACAAACAAATATAGTCAAACTGTCATTAATTTATTCTGTTCTGAATTTAAACACCACAATTTGACTTCACACTTTATTATTGCAAAATGTACAATGTCCAATCCCGACATGTTTCCTACTGCTTTGCTAATGTGGCTTCAGATTCACCGGGGCCAGTTTTGAGAGCTGTGACTCCGTGGGTAAACGGCAGCGCTGTGACTGTGTCCTGGACTGAGCAGAGGCAGAACCTGCTGAGTTATGTCACAGAGTGGACCACACTTCCTCCGACTGCACTGCACTGGAAAACTGTGTCCAAAGAGCTCACAGCCACAACTATAACAGGTCAGAGTTATAGCTGTGTTATAGTTCAACACTGACATCTACTGGAGAGAGAGAGAGAAAGAGAGAGAGAGAGAGAGAGAGAGAGAGAAGAGAGAGAGAGAGAGAGAGAGAAAGAGAGAGAGAGAGAGAGAGAGAGAGAGAGAGAGAGAGAGAGAGAGAGAGAGAGAGAGAGAGAGAGAGTAACAATTTGACTGTTATCTTAAGCAATTCTTATTTTTTATTAGTTTCCTTTTTTTAAGAGTGGTAAGATTAGCCTGGGCTGTATTTTACCTTTTTTATTTTTTATCCAACACAATATGAATAGGTATTGGATACAGATGGGACAGTTCTAAACTACAGATCGTCCCTGGTCCCTATCAATATTTGTGAAAAGTGACTTTAGGAGTCATTCAGGGTCATACGTAGTACACAGCACAGATCGACCAGACAAGCCTCAAATGGACATCAATCCTAACTTGGGTGGGATGAGATGCTATGGGGGGAGATGGAGGACGCAGAAGTGGACTGTAACCTCACCGCATGGACCATCGACTACCTCTCGGACCGATCACAGTACGTGCGCTACCGCAGGGCCTTTATCCCCACCGCTGTCAGACTGTACGATAAGTCACTTTAAGTCACTAATGCACAAGGACTGAATTCTTTTTTTATTGCCACTTTTAATTGTATGTAAGTAAGTTTTGTTTATAGAGCGCATTTTACAGACTAAGTTCGCCCAAAGCGCTTTACAATTGTTCAGAGTTCAATTGTACATTTGCACACTTCTGTCTTTTGCTCAATCCGAGTGATTCTGTCCATGCCAAATCTGACATGTACATTTCTCCAGTGTGAGATCAATAAAGTCTATCTTATGTTATCTTATCTTGGCAGTTGTGTTTTTCCTCCAGGTCTGATGCCAGGGATACGGTACAATATCTCTGTCTATGCAGTGACCACAAACGGCGTCACTGCTCCATCGTCTTCTGTTGTCTACTCCAAAGAACTACGTGAGTTTCTGCTTCTCATTCTGAATCTAAATCACCGATCAATTTTGTTTTGACTTGTTGGTGTTTTCCCCAGAGCCGCAGGGTGGTCCAGATGTGCAAGTGCTGGAGCACGAGACCAACAGGGTCCTGGTGAAGTGGGACGAGCTGCCACTGGAGAAAAGGAGAGGCTTCATCACGTCTTACACCATTTACTATCATGTGTTGGACTCCAGCAGCCCCCAGCTCAATGGTGAGTCATTCAGACCATAGATTATGATCTATGGTCTGACTTTGTGTGATCTATGGTCTGTGATTTAGACGTGTGATTCATACAATACATAACTGACGACATATTCATTTGTCACACATTTTCCCTTTTTTGCATCATGAAGTTTAAATCTGTCACAAAGCCTCTGGCACATCATTAGTACCGGTATTCTCATTCATGTTTTCACCCACAAATGAATCAGGATGAATTATACCTGCCCTAGCCAATCAGCTCTCAGACAAATGTATATAATAATAACAATAATAATAATAATAATAATACATTGGTTTTATTTAGAACTTTTCATTATTCATTCACTCCATAAACCTAAAACACAGTCTAACTCAGTGTTTTTCAATCAGTGTACCGTGGCCCATGTTATCATTGGGACAGCACATCTATTCAAAATGCCAAACACATGTTGTGACAGAAAACACTTAAATACACACATGAAAACACTGACTTACAAAACGCGACACAGATCAGCCAGACATACACAGGCCTCAGTTTAGCCATATTCAAAAGTTTGCGAGTACGAACGCAGGAAGAGCAAGAGAGGAAGAGGAGGGAGAGGAAGGAAAGAGGAGGAGGACGTAGTAGAAACTTTGGTGGATCATGTGATAAACCATGGCCTTACGACGAGGGAAGCACAGAATCCAGTCACTGCTTCATCATCAGGAGCTTCAGATGGAAACATGTCTTGAACTCTCTACTGTAAATTTCTCCATTGTGAGATCAATACAGTGTGTGTGTTCATATACTCGTAGACATTGTCACCTTTTACATCATGGAAAGTGAGCAGCGTCTCCGCTCTGTTCGCATCACCATCATCATAGGTTCAATTAGTAAAAACATTATTTTAAATAGATGCAATAGACCGTCACCTCAACACAGAATTGAAACACTATAGTCTGCAAAGGATTGCTTCCAACTTCTACACCATACCATCACACTACAACACTTGATATTCAAAAGTGGGTCTGAAGTAGTGATGATGGACGACCACATATGAGTCAGATTTAGTGAGAATTGTTCTTGTGAATCATTTGAGAAGTGGCTGTACCCAAACTATGAACAGGAAGCTGCATGGCTAAGTGCACACCTGCAACATGTAGTGAAGGCTTAAGAGCAAATGTGTGAGTGTGTGTGTGTTAAGCTTACAATCTCACTGTAAGCTTAACAAAGGGCAAAAGTACGCCCAAAATACATGCAAACTAGAGATTGAACAAAAGTGTGTTGAGAGCTAGGAGCTGGTTACATGGATTTGATTACGTATAGTTATTTTTTTGTGGTATGGAACTACTACTATACAGTTGAAGACCACAGTGCACACTTTCTCACGCCTTCCTCGAGCCACTCCCCCCCAAAATACCAGTCAGCAGTTTGTGTGGTTGTGAAAAAGTACAGGAACATTAGAGTTGGTGGTGTGGTACTTTTTCCCAGAGATTTGACTTCTCTTTCTTGTCAGTGTCTGTGCCCGCCTCAATGCCCAGGCAGCGCTGGTTGGACTGCCCAGAGGGGACCCTGGCTCTGCAGATGTCTGCCTCCACTGCAGCCGGAGAGGGCCCACGGGACAGGCTCATCTCCTCCCACCCCCCCACTCCTGCAGGTTTTTCACAGTTTTTTGTATGGTTGATTGAACATGAACAAAAAACCATCAACACGTTTTTTTGGTGTCAACCTTTTTTCAAAAATAAATGAAACAAACAAATAGTGGAGTCCTGAAGCTTTACTTCAGAGGCAAAGTTACCATGTTGTTAATATAACAACTATAGAATATGCATTTCCCTCAAAACAACAATATCCACAAATTAATGCTAAACAAGTACCACGCCTGTAAAGTGTTGAATTATAAATAGATTAGAGATAAATAATAAAATAAATACAGTACATATTTTGTAAGTATAAAGGGGCGCAGTACTGAAAAAGAAAGAATAGATTCAGTATTAGATGAGTTGTTGTCAGGGCTGGTTCAGATGAGTGTGTTCACGGCTAACAGGTCCATAAAAGACCAAACTAAACCTAAAGACAACCTCTTTGTTTGTGTCCATAGTCAACTCTGTGATTGTCATCATCTTCATCATCACCTTCTTCATTGCCATCATAGCAAACCTTATGTGCTGGAAATGTGTGCGGAAAAGGTATCAATGTTTTATTCCAGTCAAATAAAAGAAACATAATCTATAAACATTTATTACTATAGCTATATTTTGTTGAACCAAACAAATGTGTTGTTTTCTAGGATCAAACAGCAGTGCATTGCATGGAGCCCACAGTGGCTCGGGGACAATCTTCCAAAACTAAAAAACAGCAACGCAATCAAACTTTTGGAGGTACAGAGAATTCTTATTTTTATTACTTTGTTAATTCTACAACATCACTGTTCAGCAAAGGGGAAAAAAAATCTGTCACCTGTTAAAAGCTGACACTCTTTTCAAGTAAGAAAGATAATTTACTCACATCAATTAAGAACCAGAATCAGAATCATTTTTATGGCCATTATAAGTAACAGAAAGTCACAAACTAAAAATTTGCTTTGGCTCGAGGTGCAAACAAGTTTTAAGTGTAAAAATAGGTAAAGATTAAGTACAAATTAATTTTAAAAGGCCATAAATTACAGCAGCAGTCGTCTCGGTGGACTTTACAAGGTTATTGATTTTCAAATAATGCAATAAATGCAATAATAAGCCATTGGTCCATAGAGAGCAGGATGACTAATGTCCACAAAAGTACATAAATATCCATAAATGTCCTTAAACGTCCTTAAACTTCCCTAAATGTCCTGGATTACCAATAGAACACAATCCAAGTCATCTGTGATTATGTCCATGTTTTATGCTTACAGTTGGACAAGAGCGAGCCATCATTATTCTCCTTGTACAGCGACCCGCCATTGTCTCCCATCACTTGTCTGTCCCATGACGAGCTGTACCCCTCGGTCCATGAAGAGATCGGACCACTGCACATTGGCGCCACAGCACCAGAATCTACAAATGACACGTACAATTCAAGCGTTACACTGGATCACTGCAGCTACAAGCCACAAACAGCTGCCTTCTGCTTCCGTGAGGGCGAAGACATTGAAGAAGAAAACTCAACCTCAGACCAGAGATTTGAAGGATTTGTTGAAAGGGCATTGTCTGGTGTACAAGTAGATCTGATCGACTTTCAGACCCAGTTGAATATGGATAATGTAAATTTTTCCTTGTGGACTAACATACCTGATAATAATATTGACAAAGCAGACCCCAAACTGGACTTTCTGGTTGTAGACCAGTGTGATGAGAGCGTGGATGAGGCACTGGATGGTGTGGATGATGGACCTTTGATCAGTGGTTATTTCCCTCAAATAACAAGTCCCTCAGTACATCAGTGATATGGTAGTGCCACATAGACCAACTCTGCGGAGCACAGGGACTGACTTTCTGCTGGGACTGCGAGGCAGCAGTACAGATTCATGCCGATGTAATCTGGAACAGTCTTCCTGAAAATGTGAGACAGGCTTCAAATCCAATTTGAAAACCTTTCTGTTTAGCAGTGCATACACCTGAAGGATTGTACCTTCCATCTTTTTTAATGCATTGTGTTTCTTTTCTTGTTTAGTTAAGCACTTTGAGCTGACTTGTGTATGAACTGTGCTATATAAATAAACTTGCCTTGAACTTATGGTGTTCTCTAACCTCCTCAGTCATGTGGTGTTAAAATTATTATAAATGATTCCTGATTGATGTTAAGCTTCTATGGTTATGGTTGTCATAGTTAATGTTTTCATATCATTTCATTCACCTGTCAAACAATGACCTCACCAACAAGGGAACAGTCATTTTTGTCTTGATCAATCTGAAAGTATATTCAAACGATCACTTTGACCTATCCCACTTCAGAATAAACCCGCAGAGTCCCTCCCAGCTCAAACTGAGGGGAAGTCCCTCAAAAACCCTTCTAGTGTGAATGTCAAGTGCAGAGGTCTTGACACCTGCTCTGCAACTTGCAAGGAATAAAGTTGAATTACCCTTTTTGGTTGTCAAGTTTGACAGTTCACATTTGGGAAACCAAGACAAGCTTGTACACATCCTGCAAAGTCGAGCCAACTCAAGTTAGGGAAAAAAATCCAGGGCAAGTTAGGAGGAAACGATTTTTGTTAAGGCAAACTTCAAATTGCAAGTAGCAGCAGAAGTGCAATTTCCCATGTATCTACGTGATTATTCACGTGTATTTATGAACATCAGAGCTGGAAATACATCCATTGTCCCACAGTCGCACTCTCAAGCACACACTCATTCGCTGAAGTATTCTACATGTTTTTAGTAGTAGGGGAAACTGGAGCACCCAGAAGAAACCGACACAGACATGGGAAGAGCATGCAAACTCCACACAGAAACATGCATGTGAAGACGGTGTGTGTGTTGAGACGGAACACTACCATGTGTTCAGATCAGTAGATGTTTTTCTTTCGCCTCCTGCGCCTCTTTGAGCGGACGTCAGAAGCGCGTGTCGAGCGCGTGTCACAGTGAGGGGCGGTGCTTCTCTGATGTGAGTGACACTTTATTCATAGTCTGACTCTTAAACCAACCGCACCATGATCTGGGGCTGGCTGCCTAGTGCTAACTATATAACTCTATACTTTCACAGTGTTTGGGTTACAGCACTTCCTTAGCGGTACTCATCATGTCTAACTTATCGCCTGCCTAATAACTCATGGCCATAAAGCCTAAACACGACCATTTGAGAAATTCGTCCGCTTTCCACCCAGCAGCTCAACTGGAGATCTGAGCCATGGATGTGAACCAACTCCAATAATCCTTATGTCCGCGCTGGATGGAGACAATGGCGCTGGTAGTGTCCATCCTGAGCGCGCTCTTGCTGACGCACGTATGCACAGGTAGACCTAGTTCTATACCTTTTCATCTGCTGTTGGTTGAATATATTACTTTTACATCCCTGGTCTAATATATGTCTGTATCCTCCAGTGTAATGTCCATGATTTCACTATTCTTATTGTTATTATTATCATGAATATGAAGTTGCAAATCAAATGGTTTTATTTTTTTGCTCATTGATTTGATGTCACCAATGATCCATTTTAGGGTTAAGTTTTTCAGTTTTGATTGTACTAAAAATAGCAAGAGGACTTGAATGGGTCCTGCAGCGTGACCACCTCCTGTTTGTTTTTATCCCATTGAATTATTCTTTCTGTGATTAGTCTTCCACATGTTGGTATAGCATTATTTCCATATGAGTACCTTGTGTGGTTCAACTTTCTATTTCCATGGAATGTGTTGTATCGCCTCCAAGAACTTTCTGATACAAACTGTTCTATATTTAGTCCTTAAAGTTGCACGGCACAACTTTATCTACTCAGATGTTTTGCTTTGCTTGGAATGCACCTCAGTAAGACATAAAACTTACATTATTTAATCACAGTTTTTTACAGCTCAAATACTTGAAATCTTACATTGGGTCAGTTTTCCTCTTTGCAGATATGACCTAATGTTCTCTATCTAAGTGAAGTCCCTTGCTTGCCTCCAATGTAGATTGAAAAAAATAAATCAGTAAAGTTGTGCAATGCACCTTTTAATATGGCACAATAGTACAGATCATATAGAACTGTAGAAACATGTGATAATTGCTGGGGCAGATAAACATGTATTCATGCTGTGTATAGAGTGCTTTATACATATTGTTACATGGTCATTTTATCGTTTAGGTGACAAGTCCTGTGAGATCTGGTCCAGCGCTGGTCTTGTGGTGCAGAGAAATTCAACATTTCAGGTTTACTGCACTTTTAAATTCAACTGCAAAGGCTCCATGTACAGCGGGCACCGCCCATTAGTCCAGTTCCACAGGAAACACAATGAGACCACCATTTACCTGGACGTGGCCCACCTGTCTGACCACCGCACCTTCAGCTGTAACTGTGACGACCCCAGTAGCAACACGGACCCCTGCGGGCTGGACATTTTAGCAGGATGTGAGTATAGACAGTACAAAGGGCTAAAGCCTAGCGTACATCGACAGAGAAACTGGGGACAACTAGTTGCAAGGCGGCTTTTGGCAACTGAGAGGAGATGGTGGGAGATGATCAGTTGCCGAAATCGGTCGATGTGCGCGCTCTTACAACTGGAGATGATCAGTCGGTCTCCAGTTCCAGTCAGTTGCCCGTGTTCTACTTTTCGGCAACTAGTTGTCCTCAGTTGCCCCGATGTGCGCGCTCCATGCGCCGCTCCAACAACGTGTGTGTATTGCGTGTATTGCGAGCCCGCAACAGTTTGTTGTCAGAAAACACACTGTAGTTGAGGCCAGTTGCTGTCGATGTACGCGCTGTTATTCAAGAGACTGGCCTGCGACTCAGAGTTGCCCGTTTTCGCCAGATTGTCGATGTGTGCGGGGCAGCAACTCAGAGGCGACGGATATAATCAGTTGCCAGTCCGATGTACGCTAGGCTTAACATTTGCTCTCCCATTTGTTCCAATTGAAGAGTACACTGGTGCACTATGGGATGTTGAATCTTGCCTTCACAAAATGGATAAATACAAGACATCATATTTGAGTGATCAGGCCTTTAAGAAATAAAGACCCATGACATTTTTGCTTAAGATAAGTTAAAGCACAGAACTTCTGCACCCAGAAGAACCAGACCAGTCATAAGAACTTGTGTGGAATAGAACAGACGGATTAGAGTTGAAGTGTGAATTAGATGTGAGAGCAAAGCTGAATGCAAGAGTGCAAGATTTGTATGTATATGTAAATGGACAAGAAAGTAAGTAAGTAATCTTTTTGTCTATAGCGAGTCACAAAGCTCTTTACAATTCTGGACATTTTACTCTCACTCCACACAGAGATGGGAGCGAGGTCACCATACAGGAAGCACATGCTAGACTTAATCAATCAATCAATCAATCAAATTTTATTTATAAAGCGCTTTTCATACAAAAAGTGTAACACAAAGTGCTTTACAGTTTAGTTAAAAACAATCCAACAAGCCCAGCCCTAAACCCTCCTCCCCACAGACCCCCCAAAATCACATTTATAATTATATATACAATACACACACCCACACACACACACACACACACACACACACACACACACACAAGTATAAAGTCATATCAGGTAAAATAGGTAAAACAATAAAAAGAAATGGGGCTGGGAGCAGATGTAACCGGCTGAAGAAGCGTCATCCAAGGAGCCATCTGCACCAGGAGCAGAGAGCCGGCTGCAGCCACAGGCAACGACACAGGACCCAGAGGAGAGAGGGGCCCCAGACCCCACCAGGCCCAGGACTCAGACCCCATAGGACCCAGAGGAGAGAGGAGGCCCCAGACCCCCACCGGATCCAAGAGCCAGTCCCCCGAAGCCACAGCAGACCCCAGCTCTCAGTGCAGAGGGCTCCTCCAGAGGAAACACTGGGGACACTAAAACAATACAATAATACAATAGAAAGTAGAACAATAGAATGTGAAAATAAAAAGAAAAATGGCAGCTGCCTAATATAATAACAATAGTAAATGGGTAGATACAATAAATAATTAAAAATAGTAAATAATAAAAATAAATAAAAATATAATCCGTCTAAAAACATAAATAGATGTACTAAAAAGCAATAATAGATAATAAATACTAATCAAAAGCTGCTCTAAAAAGGTGCGTCTTGAGCCTACTCTTAAAAATATGAACGTTCTCTGCGGCCCTGAGCTCCTCCGGCAGACTGTTCCAGAGACGGGGGCCGTAGTGTTGGAAAGACGCCTCACCGTGAGTGTGTGTCCTGACTTTGGGGATGGTTAGGAGTCTGCTGCCGGAGGAGCGCAGGGGCCGGGAAGGCTCATAGGATAAAAGCAAATCTGAAAGATAAGAAGGCCCAAGACCATTAAGACATTTAAAGACCATTAAAAGAACCTTAAAATCGATCCTGAAACACACGGGGAGCCAATGCAGCGATTTTAAAACCGGTGTAATGTGGTCCCGCCCCCTGGTCTTAGTCAGGACACGTGCGGCCGAGTTTTGAAGTAATTGTAAACCTGAAATGTTCTTTTTGGGAAGACCAGAGAGCAGGGCATTACAGTAGTCAATGCGACTGGTGATAAAAGCATGCATCAGCGTCTCCGTGTTGGCCCGAGAGAGAATGGGGCGGACTCTGGCGATGTTCTTTAAATGATAAAAACCTATTTTTGTGATGTTCTTGATGTGAGGAATAAAAGTCAGCTCAGAGTCAAAGATTACGCCCAGGTTTTTCACTTGTGATGATGGATTAAAAGAGTGTGATTGGAGTTTCGGTAAAAGTTTCTCTCTCTGGGCCTCAGGACCGATGACTAAAACCTCAGTTTTGTCCTGGTTGAGCTGGAGAAAGTTTTCTGCCATCCAGGATTTCAGGTCTAAAATGCAGTTAAAAAGAGCATCCATTGGCCTGGTGTTGTCAGGAGACATGGAGATGTACAGCTGTGTATCATCTGCATAACTGTGGAAGTCAATTCCATGTCTCCTGATGACACCGCCAAGAGGGAGCATGTACAGGTTAAAAAGGACTGGACCTAAAATGGAACCCTGGGGCACACCACATGTGATTTTATGGACCTGAGAGGAGCAGGTATCCAAACTTACCATGAAGGATCTGTCTGTTAAATAAGAAGTGAACCATTTGTGGACAGCACCAGAGAGGCCGAGGTGTTTCAGGCGGGATAAAAGAATGGTGTGGTCTACTGTATCAAAGGCAGCGCTTAGATCCAGTAGAACCAACACGGTCACCTTTTTAGAATCATAATTTAGTCTAAAATCATTTAAAATCTTTAAAAGAGCAGTCTCTGTGCTGTGGTTCACCCTAAATCCTGATTGAAATTTCTCTAAAATTTGCTGCTGATCTGAAAAGGCATTGAGCTGGGTAAAAACAAGTTTTTCTAAAATTTTGCTTAAAAATGGTAAGTTGGATACCGGTCTGTAGTTGTTAAAATCATTAAAATCCAAATTGCTCTTCTTCAGAAGGGGCCTCACCACAGCCGCTTTGAAGGCTGCAGGAAAGACCCCAGTCTGAAGAGAGCAATTCATCAGGTTTAAAAGCTCCTCTCTAAAAGATTCATAAAATGACTTAAAAAATGGAGTGGGGACTGGATCTAAAAGACATGTGGTGGGCCTCACTGAGGAGAAAACTTTATCAAGCATCTCAGCATCAACCAGGACAAAACTGTCCAGTGTTTCCTCTGGTGAAGACAAACAATCAGATGTGTTAAAAACAGTTGTGCGGTTGGATAAAATGTTACATCTGATTGTATTTATCTTCCCCATGAAGTGGACTGCAAAATCCTCACAGAGGGAGTCTGTGGGGGTTAAAAGAGACATGCTAAAATCAGGGTTTAAAATGGTGTCGATGGTTGAAAAGAGGATTTTTGGATTATTTTTGTTCTGGCTGATTAGTTTTGCAAAGTAATTGTTCCTGTTTTTCCTGATTGTGTTGTTGTAAATTTGCTGTCGGTTTTTATATATTTCGTGATTGATTGTCGTTTTATTTTTTCTCCATCTTCGCTCTGCCACCCTGCACTGTCTTTTCATACTCCTTGCTTCCTCATTTTTCCAAGGGGCTATAGATTTTTGTTGAATGCTTACAATTTTTAATGGAGCAACCTGATCCAGTGTAGTTCTTAGTCTACTGTTAAAATCATCTGCTATAAAATCACAGGGGGCAGGTAAAACCAACTGAGGAGTGTTATTTAGAATGTCCATAAAATTTGCAGCCACTTCAGGGGTTAGACGTCGTTTCTTCACAGTTCTCACAGAGGTCTCCTGTTTAACAAAACCAGTGATTTTAAAAAACACACAATAGTGGTCAGAGATAGCCAGGTCAACAACAGAGGACACACCCGCACTCAGGCCATAAGTAATGACCAGGTCGAGGGTGTGCCCTCTGTTGTGCGTCGGCTGTGTGACATGTTGAGTAAAATCCATGTAATTTAAAATACTTACAAACTCGCAGGTAAAATGGTCTGATGGGTTGTCAAAGTGGATGTTAAAATCACCGGTTAAAACAATCCTATTATAGGAATTGTATAAAAAAGATAAAAACTCTGAAAATTCATTGATAAAACGGCTGCACTTTTTTGGTGGCCGATAGATGGTTACTGCTAAAATTTCGGGGCTGCTAAAAACAAGGGCATGATACTCAAAACTTGAGTATTGGTTAAAATTAATGGTTTTGGTGGCCAGGGTGTTTTTCCAAATTGAGGCTGTGCCACCACCTCTTCTTCCTTCTCTTGTTTTAAAAGCAAAGCTAAAATCGGGAGGGGAGGCCTCTGTGAGAACAGCCGGAGCATCCGTACATGTTTTTAGTGGAAAGGGCAACCGTAGCACCCGGAAGAAACCTACGCAGACACAGGGAGAACATACAAACTCCACACAGAAAGGAGTGGAGTTGCCGTGACCTTAAAGTAGCAATATGTAAGATTTTCATGTCAAGTCATCATTAAATGGCCCAAATATGTCAAAAGGCATTAATGTTATGTTATGCTCTTTTCCAATTCTTCTTTAACTGATAACAGTAGTTCAGACGGGATATTCAAATTTCTAAATAAGTTTTACAGCCCCTAAATCTTGTTATTGTTATCATTTTGATATCTCGCCCTCCACTGTTTTACCAATCAGAAAGTCCGTGATCCGGGTTGCCAGAACTCACAGCATCAAGCTAATCTCTCTGGTAAAGTAACATGTGGCCGCAGAACTAAAAAACAACAAAACAAGGAATAAAATTGTATGGTCCCAACTGGATTCGTCTGCATATCTTGCAACCTGAGTCAGGGAGAGTGGGACAGGCTGCAGTACCACTTTTGGCCAGATTTTTACACACTGCTCCTTTAAAGGCCCGATCACTTGAATTGTATGTCTTGCATTTGTCTATCTTATCTTATCTGATCTTATTTTGTGAAGGCCAGAATCAACCCTCCTCCCGACCACAGTAGGATTGTCGTTGTCAAAATATATTGGATTTAGATCTTTATTATCATTCTCAACAGTGCATTGTTTTGCTCCATCGGCTGTTGACAAACCCATATGTGGACAAAATGTACTTTCTTTTCAAATGTAGCTGGTGCGGTTCATATACAGGTACATGTAATAATCTAGAAAGTACTGTATATGTAAAAAGAGGATGTGGACAGGGTCATATGTGAAGTATATATAAGAGAGGATGTGGCGATGTATGCATGCTTTCTTATTGTGTCAGCAGAATCTAACTTTAGTTCCAAGACCCCTTAATGAGCTGCTCCACAAATATTTCCCAAATGTTTTCTTATTTATTTCTGTTATGGATTGTAGTCGTCTTCCATGTCTTCTGAAGTTTCTGGGTTCCACCTTGTGTCTGTTTCACATCACATTTCTGAAAATAAATGAAAGTATTATCAATACCATTAGATATATTTCAACCCAATAGGCAAGGCAAGTTTATTTGTATAGCACAATTCATACACAAAGGCAGCTCAAAGTGCTGAACAAAATAAGATAGAAACAGTCACACAATGCCTTAAAATCATAAATAATCACAGTGCATTAACAGGAAAGACACAAATATACTTAGGAATATTAAATTATTACTCATATTTGTGCTGATGAACCTTGAGTGATTAAATGAGACCTTTAGAATGATTGGTGCAGCTTGTATATTGTTGTAAAGACTGGGTATATTTTAGTTCCACTATAAAAGCCATTATAGCAACTCCCTTTCTGAGTATTTGCAGCTACATAGTTCTGCTTTCTCTTTCTATGTGACATGTGTAAATGTCACTTGTCCTCTCCACACCCTAAGTAAGTGTAAAAGCTGTCACATACACCCTTTCCCAGCCTCTGTGCATGCAAAAACACACACTTTAGCCCTCACTTTCATTTGTCACTTTTCAGTAAGCACTTTTTCTTATGCCACTTTTATGTCGTCATAGATCCTCCTGATCGGCCTGCCAACTTTTCCTGTGTTCACCAGATTTCAGAATTTAACCATTCTTCTACTGTTGAATGCAAGTGGGCCAGTGGACGGCAAACATACATAAGAAGTAACGCAAAATTATGGTATTGTATCTTTATATATGTATTTATCTACACAATGTGAAATGGGGGTTAGTTTTGATAATTAGTGGTGATAGCAGTGGCGGCCGGCCAATAGAGGGCGCTAGGGCGCCGCCCCACCACTCACAACTTGCCATGTTACCTTAAATAAAACGTTAAAAAAAATAATAAAAAGATAAAAAAATAAATAAATAAAAAGATTGCGCCCTGAGGCGTCTATGGACTCTCGTTAAAAGTTGTACATGCGCAGTAGCTCCTCTTCAATGCAAGAGATAAGACGATTTGGGGGCGCAGGAGAAGTGCGCCCTGAGGGGGCGGGATCGCCCGCGACCTGTACTGTCACTGTCTGTGACGTCCGTTTACAGTGATTGACAGGTCAAGCTGTGGGAGTTTGAGACGAACGTAAAGAGACGCAAAATGGAGAACGAGAAAAAGAATAATTCAGTTAGATCACTCAAAACAATACCGTTTGAGAGAAGATCATACCAGGAGAAGGTTGAGGTTAAAGAGCTTGGACCTGATCAGCCAAATATTACCATTAGTCAGCAGTCCAGCGACAGGGGGAGACGGTACACTCGTACTTTTTCCAGGACCTGGTTCAGCGCCAAATCTTGGCTAGCAGCATGTAGCGAGGCTAATGCTTTATTTTGCTTTCCATGCCTCTTGTTTCAAACATCAGGATCTGACCCAGCATGGATCAAGACAGGTATGACTGATCTGAAGCACTTTTTAGAAAAGGCAAAGAAGCATGAGCAGACTGGTGTCCACATGCAAAATGCCCTCAAATTAGCTATGTTTGGGAAGATAAATATTTCATCCCAGCTGGATGAAAGCTACAGGGTAGGGATCAGAAAGCACAATGAGGAGGTTGACAAGAATAGGTACATCCTATCAAAAATAATAGACTGTGTCAAATTCTGTGGTGCATTTATATCGAGTCATCATATTCATAGCCCCCCCAGTAGAAAATTCCACCAGCCGCCACTGGGTGATAGTATAAAGTCTATATGACTTATTAGGCTACTAAATGGACTCAAAGCTGGAGTACCTGACTTTGAAACCATATAACAACAACAACTTATTCTTGTATAGCCCTAAATCACAACAGAAGTCATCTCAGAGGACTTAACAAAACCATTGAAATCACCAACACAGATCAGAGAATCAACAGTTAAGACACAAGATATAAACATATGTATTGGTCCATAGGGAGAGACCGATGTCCATCATGTTGATAAATGTCCATAGATGTTGTAGAATGTTTAAGTGTCCTGGATCATCACCACAGGCCTTCTAGTCGGACACTAACTGCCCAACAGACCCTCCTGCATTGGCAAGGAAAAACTCACAAAAATCCAGTGGGAAAAAAGAGAGGAACCAGAGGACAATGGGACAATGGGACAACGAATTAATAGCAATGAACACACTACAGTCAAAATCTTAATAATGCAAATACTGTAGATAGAGTAGGAAGGAGGAGAAGATAGAGCTCAATATAAAATAACTGTATGTAATAAAATTGCTCTGTCACTAGCTTTCACATTCATGTATCTTTGGCCTCTGTCAAATCTTTGGGTCAGCTTTTTTGTTTTTTTGTTTTTTTAAATAGGATAAAGACATCATGTTGTGGTCTGATGTTGTTCTCAAAATGTGGCTTAAACAATCCTGAAAAAATGAACCCACTTTATTGAAGATTTTACTCAAATTCTTTTTGAGTTTGCTAAATTTGGTGAATGCTTGAAAATAGTTGGCATTGTTGAACACTAAATCTGAATATAATTTGTCTATTCTGCATCTCAGGGTCAGGACTTTCAGCCACAACACATCAGGAGCAGACGAAGTGTCGAGTGTCTCTGCTAAAGGCTCTTCTTCTGTGGCGGCGAGTTTCACTGTGGACACTTCTGTTCAGGTCGTCTCTGTTTGGGCCAGTGTCACAAACCAGCTGGGCTCTGCTCAAACTCACCAAAAGAATTACACACTGAGTGACATCAGTAAGTACAATAGCATACCTCTCATTTACATCAAAAACCCAAAGAAAGCAGCTAGAGCAAAGTGTAAAAGTGACTATAGAAAATGTAAGGTATTATTAAGAAGGAATAATACTGGCGTTCTTATTAAGTTTGTTTTGGTCCTTGCTCAGGGGGGCTGGAATGGACTCATAATCCAGTTATCAATGAATTAGATGTATTGGACTTTACAGACTGTATTGAGACTTGTATAACAGGCAGCAGCATTATAACTTAAACAACATATGTATAATACAATGTATCACTCTAAGAGTTTTCTAATACCATATTTAAGCCTTAAGTGTTCATTTTGTTCAAAGATATTTGTCAACAAAGGCTGAAGGAGAGGAGACAAAAATCAAATACAAATGACAGAAGAGAATTGCGTTTTTGTCACTAAATAAAAGACCAGATGAAAACACAAACGCTATGGAGGACCGTGGCTGCCAAAACAATAAATATATACAGAAATAAATAAATAAATAAATACATTTAAAAAAGATAAAATTTGCAAAGAAATGCATGCAATTATGATAATAAGTGCATTTATTTCTGTATTTATTTATTTATATATTTATTTATTTCTGTATTTATTTTTGTATTTATTTATTTATTTTTGTATTTATTCATACATTTATTTCTGCATTTATTTATCTTTTTCTGTATTTATTTTTGTATGTATTTATTTATTTCTCTATTTATTTAATTATGCAATTATTTATTTTTTTCTCTATTATTTTTTTTTGTCTGTATTTATTTATTTATTTCTCTATTTATTTCTGTATTTATTTCCGTATTTCTCTTAATGATATGCAAATCATGGGGTGGGCTGGGATAATAGATCCATGGCTGGGATGCCTCTGCTGTAAGCTCATTGGTTAATCTTTTTCCTTGCTCCATAGCTTGTCCAGCATAGGCGGTCTCGCTAACAACAAACACCACTACTCTACAATCAGTGGTGTAGCCTGCGCGATACGCAGGTATACGCCGTATAACCACGAGAAGCCACTACAAATTGGGCAAAGATAGGCTACGTATCACTCATTTGCGCAGTGTTACTTTTGCGCTTTCTGCCCGATTAAAGACCAGCCCAAACTCCACATCAAGTAACAATTTCCTCCCATGACACCGAGAGAGGGGACCGGTGGCATTTCATCCCTCTCTCTCTTTCTCAGGCACGGTTCCCTAACTGCGCTGCTCCCGTGTTGTCTGGGCACAAAATAAAACATAGCTGATATGATAGAGGAGTATTAACGATCATCCTCCGCTCTGAGAGTCCACGATGTCGGCCTCTTATGCTCATTTCCCTGTCCGGCTCGTGAGAGGCTTTTGGCAAAGGCAGTGACAGGTGCTCGTGTGTATTTTACTACAAAGCGCTGAAGTCCGCCGTCCCCATGAATTGGATAGAAATTGGAGAAATACGGAAATAAATACAGAAATAAATAAATAAATACAAAAAAATACAGAAATAGAGAAATAAATCTATAAATGCAGAAATAAATGTATGAATAAATACAAAAATAAATAAATAAATATATAAATAAATAAACACAGAAATAAATAAATATATAAATAAATATATACAGAAATAAATGCACTTATTCTCATAATTGCATGCATTTCTTTGTAAATGTTATCTTTTTTAAATTTATTTATTTATTTCTGTATATATATATTGTTTTGGCAGCCACGGTTCTCCATAAAACGCTGACAATCACAGGTGAAAAGTATTACTTCATGTTGAAACATTAGTTTAGCTGAGTTACCTGTGTCTCAACCTCTTGGTCGTGTGTTTGCAAACAGCCTCAGAATCACACAGGATGTTAATCAATGATACTATACAATACAATACAATTAGCAGTCATCTCAGAGAACTTAACAAAACCATTGAAATCACCAACACAGAGCAGAGAATCAACAGTTAAGACACAGAAAATACACATATATGTAGATCCCCGTGTCTGGGTAGGTTTCCTCCGGGTACTCCGGTTTCCCCTACCACTAAAAACATGTGGTGTTTAGTGGTAGGGGAAACTTGTTCAGGGTGAATGAGTGTGTGTTTGTTAGTGCGAAACAAAAATTAGCCCATGGCTACAATCCGGAGTGATGTGTTCATTAACATGTACTGTCCCAACCAAATAAACATTAAATAAAACAAATGTATTGGTCCATATGGAGATACCAATGTCCATGAATGTTGATAAATGTCCATACAATAATCCATAATAATCCACACATGATGATAATCCAGCCGTATTTTCTCCCACTCAGCAGTTTTCACTCATTGCATTGTGAGAAAACATATCATAGTTTGTATGTTTGAGCCCTGTGTGTAATTATTTGAAATTTTGGGCTGAGAGAAATAGGCGTTACATGGACAAGTACATCCATAAAGTACTTGTACTTCCAGTAGAAAGTCTTTATAAGTATGAAAAGAACCTTGCCTTCTAACAACAAATATATTAGTTGACTACATTTGTTCTAATTTTACTAAAACAAACTCAAAAACTAAATCCAACCCAAAGACTAAAACTTGACTGAAATTACTGTGATTAATGAAAGTAATTTTTGGCAAAACACTTAGACTATAAAAATGTCTTCTCCACTTCTTAAACGTTGGTGAAAGCCTTCTTTGTAATGTCTTGTTGAATGACCTGCTGTGATCAGTGATGCCGCCTGTCCCCGCGCCGCCTCAAGTCCACTGTTGGTCCAGGAACTGTTCCATTAAAGTTCAGCAGAAAGTCCAGACCTTTGCACTGAACATTGACTACAGAGACGTAGAAGAGGAGCAGTGGACGCCTCATCCAAATGTGGTAAGTACCGAAGTTCAGGAAAAGTTCACACCCACCTACAGCTTTCTTGTTATCACTGTCGACTCGACGCGTCAAAGTCAAAGGAGGAAATGAGTGGGGCCCCGCTGCTGCTGCGTAAAAGTGAACTTAGCATCAAAATAAATTTGATTAAGTCAAAAATTTTGTGAATTCCCGTCCACTTGACAGTCTGCTCCAGGTCAGTAAAAATCCCATCAACGCAACAAAGGCTACTTAGCTGTGTGGTAACAGTATCCAGAGTGCAGTGCAGAAATAAATACATTGGATTTTTACTTCTGGATTTGCAACGCATTTTATTACTGGTGCATTTACCCTGACAATGACAATTGAAGAAGATGACAAAGTCTGGGATCGTGTCTTTAATTCAGACAGAAGACATGTTTTATTGTTGATGGTAGACAGCATGAACACGAACACGAACCAGGATTTTACAAAATGCAAGTGGTAATATACAGCAGGAGAAACTGAGACCTCCTATCAGCAGCTGCTGACACTTCAAAGTGTCATGAAATCTCTAAACAGTATTGATAAAAATATGTGAAAGATTAAGCAAGAAATTTGTAAATCGGGTGCATTAGAGCTGTAGTACTTAGCTTTCAAACCACATCAATCGGAACGATCAAATAAATCTAAGTTCCTCGCTGTCAAAACTATTTTTCACAAGCATGTATATTTTGGACTCACATCTTTAGATCCAACAGAAAACTCACTCACTCGGCCAATCAACCCTAAGCGTTGAAAAGTGACTACAGGGCTTATACAAAAGTAAGTTTGATCTTTTTTAATAAGAGGACGAGAGCACAACAATTTAATGACAAACAATAATGGGGAAAAATGAGGTAGCCCTTCGTCTACTTCCAGTGAAGGCTCAACACCTGCTGTAGTACCATACAACATAAAGCTTCTTTCTGAAATATTCCACTGTTTTTCACAAAAATATACATTTCCAATTTGCATTACAGTCCAATGGTTTGGTCGAGTCACTGCAGCCCTACACACTGTACCAATTCAGAGCAAGGTCGAAGTTTGCAACAGGACTGTGGAGTGACTGGAGCAGGCCTGTCTCCGTACGGACTCAAGAAGAAGGTAAAATCCTCTTATTGAGTTTAGAAACCAAGTGCTGGAAAAATTGCATCTGTCGGGCCAAGCTCTGCCAAATGAGCTTAACAATTTCCACTGTTGTTTTGAATCTGCTGATGCCTGTCCTGCTGTATTCCCTTACTGTTTCAATCAAGGTGCCTTCACCGTGACTCAGCAGGAAGTCCAGCTGAACTCTGTGTACAGTCACTTGGACAATACATAGTTCCCACAGACCAATGAATGTCACATGACCTCCTCGGAGACGCCATCTTTGATGGCACGCTGCTGTGTTTGTGCATTCCATTAAACAGAAGAATGAGAATAAATGTAGATATTCAAACGCAAATTGGAAAAAAAGGGCAACTTTTGAGCAAATAATTGTATATTAATACAATGGCACCACAGTTTAACGTGCTACGGACATGTTTTACATATTTGATCAAATTATGCAGCAAAAATTAACAAGCAATGCAAACATTTCTCAAAAACTTTAGATTTAATACCAGTTGGAGCTCCATTTAATTATTTTAATTATATTAACAATTAATTTAATTAATGCTAATGCCACACGGACACTCTGGATTGCTGTTATTGTTTATTTCCGCGTTTTTGACCGTATGTTTTGGTGAATGGTGGGCAACTGATTTTTCCAGGCGTAAAGAGCAGTTTATTTTATGACACAGATCTTTTTACAGAAGCAATGCTGTTTGTGAACATTGTTTTAGCCCACCATAGAACTATTATTATCTATTTAATACATTTACGTTGCCCTCGAGAGCCTCGGACGCGACACCGATCCTCCTCATAATAAAGTAATCTAAATAATGAAACTCTCGTTACCAGATATCAGCATACACAAGTTAGTACTGAGTAAATTACGTCTGTCAACACATTATAAGATACGATACGCACCTGACACAAAGTGCTCCGAGCATATTCTTGCGTGTTTTGAGGGAGTTTCTTGCCTGTTTATCTTCGCAAGCCATAACCTCCGTCGTTGTTCTGACAAAAGCTTAGTCTTCTCACATTCATGAAGTCTAATGATGGGTATACTGTAAAATCCAAGTTTAACAGAACCTCCGGCACGATTTGAACATCCATTGACCCAGCAGGAGATGACCATTTTCAACTTTATCACGACATTAACACGTTTCAGCTTCTTTTTCTATTGTTTTGCCCACAGAATGCCAACTCAAATGGCGCCGGGACGGCAAATCCCCGTATGTAGTGACGTCATGTGGGAACTATGTATAGTAAATAGTATTTGGCACAATGCATCATGGGAGCTAGTCCACTGCGCAAAACCGGGAGGATTAGACGATAGCGGAATTGTCTGGTCGAGCGGAACTCGCCAAATATGGGCGAGTTCCCCATGGGCCATGGCTGTCCTATGCACTACTGAGCACAAGCCATTCAGATCTTAAAAAAATCAAATTTAACAGCATTTGAAGGAAAATATTAGCCTGGGAATTCTCATGGTGCTGTGTTAGCTGGAATCATTATATCACTTGTTATATGTAGTCTGGTGATAGCCAGGCTGGGAAAAGGTGTTGTTTGAAGCAACATTCATAAGAATTAACACAAAAAACAATAAAACAATACATTTTAAAACTAATAATACTTGGACTGTAAGATTACGTGCACAACAAAAAAAACAATCAAGTGGAGGATTGCCACTGTTGTCGTGACTTTGTGGTTTAGTATCTTTGCGATCTGTTTCCTATCAACCGTATGAAACCAGCCACCGAAACAGTCAATGGGCACTGTGGATGTTCAGATACAAGTAGTTTTCAAACATTGTCAAAGTTGTTCAGTAAAAATCAAATCTGATGGCGTGAAGATAAGTTAAAGGTGCAATCATGGCGACACAAATGCAGTGAATCACATGTTTGTGTTTCCCAACTAGTTTTGTATTTATATTGTATGAAGTCTGAGTTTGTAGAAAGACACTACTTGTTCTTCAGTAAAGTAATCAAGTATATTTTACACTTATTTTCTTTTAAATCTTTTTATTAACTGAAATATTTCCATTCAGGAAGTGATCAGACATTGTTGACCAAAATACAGTGTCACTGCAAGAAGTGAAAGTACACTGTGGTAAAGATATTAAACCATTAACCAATATGCGGATACAGACTATTGGATTAACATGCAACGTTTATAGTAGACATTGTCAACTCTTGAGCAAAGGGAATTGAATACTGCACAGTGGGTTTTATAGTTCATCTAGATACACAAAATATAAACTTCATAATGTTTTTCTTTAGCTCCTGAGCGTGCACTGGACGTGTGGTATGCTGTCGATCCCAGGACAGAGTCCATGAGAGTCTACTGGAAGGTATGTCTGCATTCTACTCATTGCACTTTGAATATTAAACTTACACTTTGGGACTTTTCTGGTGGAGGTCTGTCTGCGTGGAGATTCTCTTCATTTCAGCTCATAGGGGAACTTATGGGGAATTTCCTTGCAAAAACGTAATATATATAGGGGATCAAGACATACTTAAGAAAAGACCACCAGACAACACCAGACAAATGAAAGTCACGAATGAACGTCATTTGTGACAAGATTACAGCAGAAAAAGAGCACTGAGGATACGCACACATCAAACAAGATCAAGATTATTAAGGATAATAAATAATAAAACATGAAAATAAACAAATAAAACTGTAGATAATAAACTCTATGATTCTAGCTTAACTTAACCACAAGCTCATTATGTGACACTTAAATGATTCACTTCACTAAAACTAAATACACTAAATATTGAAAAGTATATCATGAAGTTTGTAAAAATATGTTTGGTCGATGACATCCTCTGGTGATGCCATCATTTACAACCAGGAAGTAAATCATTTGAAAATATAGCCAAACTGGAATGAAATCTGGAAAATCTTTAGCATAAATATAATAATAACTGTTTTTAGTGAAAATCAAAGTTTAAACTGTTATATGCACCTAAAACATTAGTTACAACAAGTTACATATACAAGTCAGGTTTGAGGAGATGCAGTTAGAAGGATTTTCAACTTTTTTCAGTGAGATTTTCAAAAACAGCTATTCAAAAAGCTTTTTTCTCGTTTTTGACTAGAAGTTATGTCCTGCTGCTTTTAATACAGTGAACTTGGTTTTCTTGTGCCCTATGCCTTATTCTTTGCAGGTTTTCGCTTCTGTATGCTCTCAGTTCTGTGCAAAGTAAAGGTCAACCTGTCCGACCACTTCTGAAGTGTGACCACATTCGCACACAGCCGAGCAGCACATAACACACGCACATAGTAACTGAAACTCAACACATAGGTTTCACTTTACATGAAGAGAAGGGATGTAAAGAAGATATATATACAATGCTACATAATGTCTATGAAGGAGAATGTAAAGAGTGAAGAGACTGCAGATCTGTGTGGAGAATGAGGCTGTACACAAGCACCCATATAACTCACACTTATTTTTTCACAGAAACTGCCCTTGTATGTTGCTCACGGAAAGATTTTGGACTACACCATCACAGTGTATCACCAAAACTCAGTCCAAACTCTCAATGGGAGCTCAGATAAACAAAACATCTCAGTGCCCTTATGTTCAGATTGTGACGTCACAGTGAGCGCCCGCAACACCAAAGGGCACTCTCCTCCTGCCAACATCACCATCCACACCTCTGAAGGTAACTAGTCAATAAAAAATAAAAACTCTTTGTGCTATGTTCGATAAGTACAGTATGCATTTCCGTTCAGCTAAGGACGTCCTTGTGCCGGTGATAAACAAGAACAATGTCACCCTCTGCTGGAGACAACATGCAAGTGCAGCTCTTCCCCTTGACTGTGTGGTTGAATGGTTTCCCAGAGGGCAGAAACTGGAGAAAATGCAGTGGCTGAGGATAAGCGGAAACAGCAGTCAGGTTGTCATCACAGGTAAGAAGAAAACTTGTGATGAATTGAATCTTTTGGACCTTGTTTGCAGGGGTTTGGGATACTGCTATTAGGGTACTACATCCAAAATGCATAAACAAGAGCAGGGGTCAGCAATATTGATAGTCAATGATTTGCTGGTATTATAAAACTAAATTAAATCTACATTTTTCAGATATGGAGCCATTTCAATGCTATGAAGGATCTGTGTATGTTTTCTATAGTGACAAGTCCATGGATAGACTTAGGTTTTCTGATATCAGCATCGCAGATTTAGGTAAGTACAAATTAACACACTTGACTTCAACTCACTGAAAAAGGATTTAAATTGTAAATATGTTCTCAGCCCCCACAGCTGGGCCCTCTGTGGAGAGACTTGTCGAGGGAACGACAGTCAACGTGAACTGGTCTGAGCCTGACGTGGGACAACACAAAGGCTGCATCACCACATACACCATTTACTTAGAGAACAGTAGCAGATTCGTGACCACCTGTAAGACAAATATTTGTTTCATACATAGGATTTACAGATTTGGGGAACATAATGAAATAATATGTAGATAATGCAAAACTGAGAGGGAAAGTCACCGCACTGATAATAGATCTCAGTAAGACGTAAAAACGGTAAACCATGGGTAAAAGCTAAGATATGTTTGTGATTGGAAACAAAGTTATGCAGTATTAATCGATTGAGTTTTACACCTTGCCTAGGGACTACAGTTAGAAACTAGCTGTTAGCTAATGCTGACAAATGTACAGCATTGTTGATTAATGTGTATCGTCCCTATTCAAATAAACTAATAAATAAATAAATAAAATAAATATTCAAACATGACATATTTACCCATTCATTTAAGTTTTATATTTACATTGATCCTGAGCACTGATGGATCGTCTTAATGTTGAGGCTCCTTCTCCTCATCCACCTGTTGCATAGAGCTACTGTAGGGATTTTATTGTTCAAGGCATAGTTGCAAATACCTTTTTGTTGAATTATAATTACTAACATCACACTTTTATTGTTTTAGATAATGTATCAGCCTCACTTAGGTTTCACGTCATTAGTGGCCTGTCTCCAGCGGCCTACAGCATTTGGATGACGGCCTCCACTGCTAAAGGAGAAGGCAAACCAGGTCAAAAAATCAACTTCTTCATCCAACGTAAGAAGCAGTTATTTTTGGTCAACCAGCTCGTGCCTACAGTCTGAATGCTGTAAAAGTTTACTTACTAGTCCATCATTTTTTCAGAAGATTCTCAAATGGCTCTCATTGTCAAATTGGCGCTTCTTGCTGTTTTCATGTTGTTTATACTCTGTGCTTGCCATATTCCGGCAGTAAAGGAAAGGTATGAATACACACACATTGGCAAGAATATACGGAAGAGTATTTATCCTGTGTATCCTGTGTTTATATTTTAAATGTGTTTTCCTCAGGATGTGGGTGTATCTCCAGTATTTCATGCCTGATATTCCCGACCCTGCAAACAGTAAATGGGCAAAAGATTGTCTAAAAGAGAAGGTATTTAGTGTTCTTCTATCACTGTTTAGGTCACCCTGGACAGAAATGGGCAAAGTTCAACTAACGACCAACTCTGTAAATCCCACAGCATAATATTTCTTTCTTTCTCATATCTTTGAAATAACATGCAACTGTTTTTCTCTTATTAAAACTGGGGTACGAAACTTTTTTCCTCATAAATGTTTGTCTTGTAAAAGTAAAATCAGACCACAACATGCTACCTTCATATTTCGCATGTATTTAACGAGCCTTATGAATCTCTATTTGACTCTTTTGGCTGAGAGCTGTTGAGTGGATTGAGGGAAGTTCTCTTTTTTCATTTTCAATACATTTTTTGTATCGCCCTAAATCACAATGGCAGATGTCTCGGAAGACTTTACAAAGTTGTTGATTTGTCAACACAGATCAGAGAATCAAACAGGAAATGCAATGATGACAAACACATAGCAGCGATTGGTCCATAGGGAGAGAATGACCAATGTCCATAAATGTTAATAAGTGTCCACAGAATGAAAGAAAAAAATAATAATAGACAAACAGACAGGCTATAGATCAACTGTGTCAAAGTCAAGGCCCGGGGGCCAGATCCGGCCCGCAAGACAATTTTTAGTGGCCCCTAAAATTATTATTTATTATTATTATTAACTAACTGATGGTAATGGGTGACCAAGGCAGGTTACATCATCTATTTTCTCAGGAAAACAACCAAATTTAATGTGTCGTCATAAGTTAAATAGTCCAATATAAAATGTGTTTTATATTTGATCCAATTCTGATTCATCTAAACAATAAACGCATTTTGTTTTCAGAAAAATAAACCAGAACATAACTGTGAAACTCCAGTCACATTAAAGTCATGTTAAAATACCTTCATAATATAAAAAACTATTATAAGAAAAGGAAATCTCTTCAATTTTTTCCGCCCCCGATCAGTTCCTATTTTTTTTTATCGGCCCCTGACCAAAATGAACATAGTTAACTGTTGTTTGGAAATTAGGTACCCCCCTTGTTTTCCTCTCATATTCCTCTTTTTAAAATCTCAGCTCAAATCTTCTGCAGTAATATTCTTGTTCTAGTATAGATTAGTAAATTAAAGATAACATATTGCTCCTCTCTGCACAGGACGTGAGTCTCCATCCTCAGCTCAGCACCACCACAGAGACGGAGGAGGAGGACCTAGTTTGTGTGCAGATCCAGGATTTGCCGCGGCCTCTGCTCTCCCCCCAGACCAGCCTGACCTCAGACACAGATCTCAGGCCTCTTTACCCAGAGATCATCTACATCACAAGCCTCTCACACGAGTCGGACTGTTCGGGGCACACTCAGACGATCTCCCTGGACACAAACGACTATATGTCCTCTCACGGGACAGAGGCCATGTCTGAGGCGGAGGACAATGAGGATTTCAACACCTTTTTCCCAAGTCACAGTTACTTCCCAGAGCAACTTGATTTTGGACCAAAGTTGACTCTTGACGCAGTGAGAATTGGCGGAGGCGATTTCTTTTCACTAGCCAGTTGACTGGAGACTGTGCTATAGCAATGTTTGTAAATCAATAAGAAAGGCGATAAGGTGAGACTAATGTCAGTGCCCGGGGTCAGTTTTATTTATGCTATTATGATAAAGACAGATTTTATTTAGTAACGTTTATTATAGTTATTTTGCATAAAGTTTTGTGATGGGGTGAGCCCGTCCCTGAGCACACTGTCCCACGGAGCGCATCTGAAGTTGCGCGCGCCCGGTGCCATGGTGGCTGCGCGCAAAGCCCAAACCCATTCAAGGACTACTGCTAGTATAGGGACTGTGTTTGTGACATGTAGCATGCGTGAACGCGTCTTCAGGGTGCACACTTGAAAGCGTTGCATGGTGTGTGAAATCTGTTACATGTGTCTTTCACTTGCCTGTGTGCTGGCGAGGTCGTGGCGTCTCCATGGTGCGTTTTGGCAAACCCGGACATAAGGAGCCATTCGCTTAAGTGCACCTGTCTGGGTCATGTGGACCACAGCTCATTTGCATGGACATTTGGACTCTTTGTAGTGTTTTAAACTCAATGTATTTTATGATAAATGTGTCAATGTGAAACTGTAATATGAAATCATTAACCTAGCGAAATACTCATGTATTGTAGATATGATGTAATATTAGGATAATTGATTTGTGATGTGGGAGGGGCCAGCAGGGTACAAAAGGTGTGCTTGTCTGCCCCATTTGAGGTGTGACTCATTGCAGAGAAGGTAATGTGGACTGCAGGAGCCTGAGTGGAAAGTAAGGGAAAAGAGAGTTATTGCAGAAGTCGTGTATATTTTTATTTGTAAATATCCTTTTCGCCTGAAGACTTTTCACTGTGCTCTGTAAAAACGGTTTTTGTAATTTCCCACTGTTTTTTCTTCTGAAAACGCCCTTTCTGACCCAGCCATGTGTTCTGTAAAAAGAACCCTCACAGTTTATTAGAGCTGGGTTAATTTACCTTGCACTGCGAGCTCATTCCTACTGTTCTGTCTTAATTTGTATTTTTGTATTACTTTTAGCGATTGGTAAATGTGTGGCCTCCTTTTCTTGTATATTGTTTACGGATTTTCTATTAAAAATATATTATCCCTGTAAGCTAGTCTGTAAGTTTGTGTTACTGGTCATGCAAATTGATAAATCCAAACCACTGACAGGTTAAGCCAAGCAAATGCGAGAAAGGGCAGCCTCCTTTTGTGGCACCGGTCCCTGCCACAGCTGATCAGTGGCATGTACACAACAAATGGCGTTTAAAACTGCATGTGGGCAAAAATTGGCATTAAAAACGGCATGTGGCCAATAAAAGAGGTTTAAAACGGCATGTGGGCAACAAGTGGCGTTTAAAGCGGCATGTGGACAATAAATGGTGTTTAAAACGGCATGTGGACAAAAATTGGCATTAAAAACGGCATGTGGCCAATAAAAAAGGTTTAAAACGGCATGTGGGCAACAAGTGGCGTTTAAAGCGGCATGTGGACAATAAATGGTGTTTAAAACGGCATGTGGACAAAAATTGGCATTAAAAACGGCATGTGGCCAATAAAAAAGGTTTAAAACGGCATGTGGGCAACAAGTGGCGTTTAAAGCGGCATGTGGACAATAAATGCAGTTGAAAGCAGCATGAACAAGATACAGCAAGCAGCAGTAGTGAAACTAGTTGTGCAGTGGCGCAGATGAAAGAGTGTAAAGCCTGGTTCACACAAGACGATTTTAAAATTGTCGGCCGATTTTTCTCCGTGTTAGACCCCACACGGGGAGATTAAAAATCCTGCGTCTAACCACTTTGGTCGTGCAGTGTGTGGTGCGTAGCCACACGGCAAGATCACGCAAGCCACTTAGCCACAAACATCACACACGAACCGACACCCCCCCCCGAGCATCCCCAGGTCAGACGGAAATCTCACAAAATCTCTCGAGATCAAGCGTGACTTCAGAGTAAACAGTCATGGCGGACGAAGAGGATGCAGTGGCGATAGTGTGCAGTTTGTTGTTAACAGAGAAGACACGTAATCCAAAGAAAAGGCAATGGTCAAAGCCATGCTGCTGTGTTTTGGTTTTTTTCCGGTGTTTCCTCACCGGCTTGTCACCTCGTCTTCTTATTGGCTACACGCCGTAGTCATGGCAACGCGCTCGCTTGTCCTCGGAGGACACCACACACGACAAGAAATCGGGCCAAAACAATCCAACATGTTGGATATCCCCGATTTGAGATCGGGAGCAGTCCCGATGTCCTTCCGAGCGACGAGTGCAGTCTTAACACACCACACACGGCAGGATAATCTGTAAGATTTTGTTACGGAAATCGGAGCGTTTCTTAAGATTGTCGTAAGGGGTAAATCGGGTCTAAATCGGCCTAAATATCCTGCCGTGTGAACCAGGCTTAAGTCTAGGGGTCCAAACATTGTCAGTTTAAATCCCCAAACAACTTATCTAATTGCAGTTTTCATATGGCGCACCTGGCAAATGACTGCCTTTCATATTGAAACTATCTTTTTTTTTTTTCAGAGTAAACTGCAATTATGTTTTTTTTAATATTTTATGCCATGTCATCATACATGCAATTAGGTCAAACAGTTTAATGCGGTATCTTATATTATAACATTGCCTTTTTCAAAAAATGTATTGTGCTACCATTTTCCATTAAATGTATTGCCCAATGATCCAACATCAGCAGACTTCAATGATAGCCAACGGAGATTTGGACCGATAATGTTTGGACCCCTAGACTTACGCTCTTCCATCTGCGCCATTGCACAACTAGTTTCACTATTGCAGCTTGTTGTATCTTGTACATGCTTTCAACTGTATTTGTTGTCCAAATGTTGCCCACATGCCGTTTTAAACACCAATCGTGTACATGCCACTGATTAGCTGTGGCAGGTGTCACAAAAGGAGCCTGTCCTTACTGGAGAATGCCTCCACCTTTATCTTGCTACTGAACAAGTTTTGATAAACTCATTTGTAATATGATATAGTGGCATATTGTCCTATTTTGTATGTACCTAAATAACTAATCAGGACATCCCAGTATGAGCCAAAATTAACCCTCTGCAATTATGCCAAAATCAGGCCCATCCAAATTTTCTATATGCATGTAACTAGCAAGAAATTTATACATGCAGGAAAAAGTGTAAAACAAAATGGAAACATTTAAGTCTGAAATTAAGTGGCACAATCACTAAAATAAACGTTTTTCCCTCAGTGAGGATAAATTTGTATTTTGAAAAGTTTGGAAACCCCCTGTGCCTTGTGTAATTTGTGCAAATAAAACGGACAATACAGAAAAGTCACAGTGCAAAAAAATGTATCGACCACCTTTATTTACCGACAGAGGTCTCCAATAGCAGGGTTAAATTCACACGTGTCGAGTCTTCAGCTGTTTCACACAATGAACAACTGCACTTCTTTCAGAGCGATTATGCAGAGGGCAACAGGGCTATGGAAAAGTAAAACACCAGCAAAGAGCAGACCGCAACAGCACAATGGAGCTGCGCAAATACAGAGGAGTGTGTACAAGTCTAAAAGGGCCGATGAAATGGCATCACCAGCAATTTTCATTTAGGAAAAAGACAATGCCAAATGCATTGTCTTGCACTTTGCTTCATACTTGTGGATGAGGAGCCGTGGAAATAGCACCTGTAATGCCACCCAAAGAGGACATAAGAGCCTCAACATTATGATCCATCAGTGCTCAGGATCAATGTAAATTTAGTAATGACCTCATGATCCTGAAAAAAAATGACCTAAGGTTCCAAATGACTCAATGAACACTTCCATAGAAAATCCCCAGAATGCAGAAAAGCCATTTCAACATCTGATTCGAGACCAAAGTTAGTCCCAGTTTGCACCATGTGAAATAGTCTAAATTTATGAAAATAGCTCAATTTACAGGATGAATATTATAGAAGAATAGACCTCCTGTACAAAATATAAAACAATATTTCCAGTGCTAAAGAAAGAAAATCCATAAATCTCATTGAGTGAAATGTCTGGTGTGGCTGAGCCAACTGTAAAGCAAGAAAGCAATGGCACACCCTCAGCTTAAAATACTCTTACAATTCAAATGCATATTCTCAAGCAGCAATTACAAAAATCAATGGACAATGCATAACCTCTGAAAAGAACACTGTATGAAAACATCCCTGCTACTTTGTTTCCAAGTACAAAACCTCTACCAATAAAGCTGCTCCCGAGTAGCAAGAAGTCCTTTTCTTTTTTGACTTTTTTTGTAATTTCGGTTTTTTCCATCTTCGTTTTGTTTTTATTACGTAAAACTCAGTTCTCACATTGAGTGCCACAGTTAATGACAGTCTTATCCATCATTTGACTCTGCTGAAGGATCCAGGATCATGCAAGCCTCGTAGCGGAGGTGCGTAGGCTGCTCCAGAGTGAAGCCTACCCCAAGGCGGGGAAGGCCTCGGGGTCGTCCACGTTGGGCACAGAAGTAGACGACTGGGGAATACAAAAAAAAATGAATCATGAAAAACCATAATTTTTGTTTGTTTGCTGTTTGTGGAGGCTGTGCAATACAAATAAACATGCCATGATAGTTCAACACACGAGACATAGCTGACTTACCCTTTCAGGCCTTCCTCCTCCACGCATCGGCCTGGGGGCAGCTTCTCCGCGGCCCCTTCCGCCTCTGCCCCCACGAGGTCCTCCACGGCCGCGGCCAGGACGTCCCAGGTCTCCAAAGTTAATCTCCAGCTTGGACGTGATGTCATTGGCTGGTTTCCTAAAGTGGTGCTCATCCTCAACCTGAACACAGAGACATCAAATCATTATGAAATAAACATTTACAAAAAGGCTTTTAAAAAAATTAACGTAATCACAAAATACCTTTTCCTCAACTTCGTGTTCAATCAGATCTTCCTTCTTATCCTGTGAAAGGGACAATTTGTGTTTTTTTTAATAATTAGACAAGTCTTGCCTTTTCAGTGGTCTGGAGTGTGGATGTACCTCAGCCTTGGACTTGTGCAGCACAAAGCCTTTGCCCCAGTCGGCTCCCTCGTTGGGCTTGCGGATGTTGAAGTCCACTTTGGTGCGTTCCTTGTTCTGCATTGCCTTCCATTCATCCAGAGTCATCTCCTTAGGCCCTTCCTCCTTGACCTCCTCTGCCTCATTCTCCCTTCAATAAATGCAAGGAAAGCAGGCTGTGCGTCAATACCACAAACCGCCCCATCAGGCCAGTTCCCTCAGAGACGTGTCATAGATTTACTTGTTCTCAGAGTCGGCAGGTGGGTGCTCCTCTCCTTCGGGGTTTTCCTCAGTCACATTTGATTGGTCGAGCTCACTGCAAAATACATGGGTCAGTATTCAAGCCGTAAGAATACATGTGCAGCATTCTGTTACACTTTGTTCCTTCATTAAACTTACTTAAGTTCATCCTTGACAGTGCCCCAGTTGTGAGATCCACTTCCTCCACGCTTCTCTTCACCTTTGAGACTACTGGAACAGCATTTGCTTTAGCCAAGCACAAACACTCATTTTATTATCAGACCATAAACACTTACGATCGGTCACTGCCGCTGTGGCGATCAAATTCACGCTTTCCTCTGGAATCAAAGCCATCACCGCGTCCCATGCCGCGGCCTCTGCCGGCTCCACGGCCGCCTCTACCAGCTCCACGTCCTCTCATTGGTCTGTCGCCTATGGGTCTGAAACAGCCATGATCAATGCACAAATTCTGAGACTTCAGATCTAAAGCACACATTTTATATCAAGGGACAGATACACAATTCTAACATCTCCCCCTCAACTTGCGAACATATTCTATACTAAGAAATTTCCCGACTGAGCAACAAAATAAAGGTCATGTCCGATTTCAAACCTAAGCCTTAATCAAAAGTCCACTTGGGTAGTACATGCATATGTATTGTCTGCCTTGGGGAATTTTTATTTGCAGAAACTTGAATTGGTTGAAAGGCAGGATTTTAATAAATCTAAACTTGTCTGCGTTGTTGTGGGCGGCTTTTGAACACTTGTTTCTGTAAACTTACTTTTCCACAGAGAATTCTCCTTCTGGCTTCTCTCCGCCCTCTCCGGCCGGTTTCTCAAAGCGGCGTGGTGGTCGCCTTTCGGTTGGCGGTCTTCTGTCTGTGGGAGGACGGCCCTCACCCTGAGGCCTGGGTCCATCGCCTTCAGGCTTACGGCCCATTCTCCTCATGCCAGCTCCTACAAGTACCACAAGAACAAGGTAAGTCAGATACAAATAAGAGCAAGTAACCAAAATAAGAGTTTAAATGTTTTGCATAGAACTTTAGGAACCAAACATGTTAAAAAAACACAAGCTTACAATGTTTTGTTTACTTTTTTTTCCCCACAGTAGACTTCAATGTCCGAGTGACACTACTGATCCCACCCATTGCCCAACTAAGATACAAAAATAGACACCATCCCAACAGCAGCTGCTGGTGGTGCTACTGGCTGTCCACCTGTCCCCATGCCCTCTCACGCAGGAGATGACCCACTGAGCAGAAGACACTAAGAACTAGCTAAAGTTTAGAAATCAACCGATTGAGTAAATAATGAAAGGCACAACTAAACACCCAGTGCTAATGACGTTCAGGCTAAATGACAGCACTAAGCCAATAGGAAGTGGCAGAGATGAGGTAGTGCACAACACGCCCCGCAGACCCACGAGGTCCGATTCCCAACGCTGCTGACAAATACACCTGCGGGATAAAACTCGATCGTAATTATCCATGCACGTTACCATTAGTTTAACGCTAGAGTCACTGATCATGTATTTGTATACATTCACTTTGGTTTTGATAAAGTGTTTGGACAAAAACTACCCCAAGCCCAAAAGGCGGGATAACTGGTTTCTGCAGTGATCTGGTCTATGTCCATATTTTGACAGAAGGGATCTGAAGTTAAAGACATGTCTAAGTACGTGCAGCAGGCCACTGGTGAAGATCCGCGCCTCAGGCCTGCAGCAGCATGAGCTAAAACGTGTTTGACTGAAAACAGCACCAGGCCTCCGCCTGCACACAAAACACGGTGTAGAAAAGACTGTTCCAGAGGCAGATCCGAGCACAAAAGAGACCATGCGGTCCTCATGTCAGGGGCATGGAGAACAGCGCCAGTGCAGAATTAGCACTGTCAGGCTATCTACTGGAGAGCAGCGTGAATGTGAAATGCATTGTTACCATCTTTCTTGAGTGGGACGGGGGCTTGCGTGTCTTCTTTCTTGTCCGTGAGTGGGGCCTTTCTGTCTTTCTGGGATTCTTTTTTGGGCTGCTTTGCCGCCTGAGCCGCGGTCTTGGCGGCAGGGGCTCCTGGCTCCTTCTTCTTGGCCTCGGCCTGCAATAACGCCTCGTACGGATCCGACTCGTCGTCAAATAGTTGGTCGTACCGATTGGCTATAGCACAGCCAAAACCTTCTTGCATTTGTCCGGGCATGATGGCGCCCCTTCAGCAGGATTTTCCTCCGATTCTACGAGGCTTGGTGCGAACACTTCGCTAGATGAAGCCACAAGATGGCTGGGTAAAAGACTGACTTCTCTTCCGGTGCGATAGACATCCGGGACACCAGCGATGGCGCGGGCGGGGCGTGTAGTTCTTTATGAGTCTGAACCAACGGGATTCAACGGCTAATAGAGCACAGACAAACTACATGACCCACAATGCCACGTTTTCACTGTTTGTTGTAGAGTAGAGCATGGAGCATGTCTGCACTTCACATCATGTAAACTTTTATAAAAACCGCCTCAGGCTGAAACAGCAATATGCTGTCAGATTATTCTCTTCCCGTGAAAGGTCAAACTGGAAAGAGACGAAAACCTCTGCAACTGTTTGGTGGATCAGCAGGTGCATTAACTGTCCAAACATATGTCCATAGGCAGTTTTACAACAACTATCAGATAATGGTATATTGTTCTATGTGGGGTCTAATTAGGATGATAGCCCTGCTTGCCTGTTGTTGTTAAACCATACACTGTAGGTAAAAAAGATGCATGGAGTTGATTGTACTACTGTGTTTGAAATACCATATTCCTATATTCTTTCTTAGATATTCTATAACTATGGGGCATAAGGGGACTACACAACCATTTCATTTAATTAATTAAAACTCAAAATTGAGCCCTTTGTTGTATTGAAAAAACATGTTCAAACTGTTAACAATTAAGTGTTTATTTTTCAAGTGAAGTGTTTACAATATAGTATTTTGGATCTTGCTTACTTTGTGGCTGCAAGGGAAGGACTTCTTGCATTGCTTTACCTTACCATTCTAGCATCCCTGGAAGTAAACAAATAAAACTATGGAGGCTTTAGTACAAAGAATATAGCATACAAACAGAAACAAACCTTAGCCTCATGATTTTAGCAAATGAGAATAATGCAATGAATACAATGAAATAATAATCATACTTGTGTATATAACACAGTGTGTTTGTATCCTTTAATTGGGCCTAATGTAACAAACGATGCCTGGCTGCTTTAATTTCTAATGTGACAGGTCAGCAGTTCAGTGCGCCTCATAGAGCGAGAGAGACTGCTCCTAAAGTCTAACTGGAACGCAGTGATGCCTTCTCCAGTTATTAACGCGATGATCGAGTCCTATGCCCTCATGGTGATGGTAATGGGAACATTTTTTGTCTATTTCTGTGGCATGGTTTGGGCTTTTTGTAACCCAAAACTGAGCGGTGGTGAAGATGGCTGCATTGAAGTGGACCTCAGGGACCAGCCTCAGACCTGTGCACCGCATCTGTCAGTGGTGCCACCCTACTCCCAGACGTATATAAACTTTTGGGACGACACCGACAGCCTGATCACAACCTGCAGCGGATTTCACCACGAGGAGCTGGGAATAAACAACATCACAGCTGTGCATGACATAGACTGAGGATGAGGACTGATGAAAGTGTGAAGGACACAAACTATACTGGGTATAACCTTTACATTTTATTATCACACATTGTGTTTATTGCTGATCATTGATAAGATAAGACTTTATTAATCTCACACAGGAGAAATTTACATGTCACATTGGCAAAGATAGGAACACAAAAGTAAGAAATGTGCGGCATGTTAATGCAGGATATATTATGTACAAAAAAAGTGGCGATTAGAAAGAAGTGTCAATAGTAGTGCAGGTTTGCAAATGATAAAACAATACACTCATTATAAGTTGTACACGTTTTTCATTGCAGCTCCTCATAGTGTAACTTTCATGGCATATATTCTTGTAAACCTGAAAGAACCAATGTAAGAAAATCTTGATAACCGAATTTTTAACTTGAATTTTATTTTGTCTGGTAAGATCAATTAGATAATTGAAATGTATTGGTTTGATCCGGAAGTTTACTCTTGACTTCACATTCTAGTTGCAGTAATCTTATAAAGAGAGCTTCTGATGTTTTCAAATCAATATCCATCTGTGAATTGACAAACAGACAGATTGTTGTCTGTAGGAAACAGACACATTTGAATTCATTGTGTCATTGGACTTACTCTCCGTGCTTCTGTGTACGGGAACCCGAGTCCAGATGTTAAACTGTGGTATTTGCTAAAGGGGTCCAGTGATTCGGGCTTTTGTTTAAACAGCCAAAACTTGGAAAAGGATTAAGAAAGAAGATTCATTTTTTTGTGGTATAATATTAATAATAAACAACATTGCCAAAGTTACAGTATCCTTAATTTGAGTTGTGTGGGGATATAGGATATTGGTGTCAATGTTGTGGTTATATACAATAGTGTTAGGAATTACCAATGCTTGAGCTCCATTTAAAGGTGTCAAGGTGAACGTGTTGGTGAACATCCTTATCTGCAATCATGATTTTAAAAGAGTAAAACAAGCATATTTTATAGTAATACTTGTACTTACAAGCCAAAATATAGGCATCAAAAGTGTCCAAAAGAAAGCTGGAAATGATGGGAAGACTCTGTAGGTGAGGTTTGTCATTACAAACCCTGGACAAGACACAGAAGAATACAGACCCTAAAGTAGGCAAGGCAAATGTATTTGTATTGCACAATTCAAACACAAGGCAACTCCGAGTGCTGAACAAAGTAACAGGATGTTAGTCATATGTAATGGATGAAGGTTTCTTTGATACCCACCTGTCGGTTGTAGTGAGTGTTGAGGGCTAGGCTGAGCAGGTCAGAGGCATATTTGGAGGAGCTGTAGGGCTGAGAGCCGCCTCTGTGCTGGACATCCTCCAGTGAGAACGCTGAGCAGTGAGCGTTACTTGATGAGGTCCAGATCAGCTGTGATCTCTGTCCATCTCGACACAGGACTGACTCAAGCTCCTTGATCTACATTCAAATACAAGATTATTTTATGTATTTATCTACATGTAACAAACATGTTACAATAACTACAAAGTCATGAATTCCATTATAAAGATGTAGACTAACATCAATGATTCCAGAGGCACAATGTCTGACCTGCAGGACAGGGGACTCTCCTTTAATTTTTTATGAGCTATGCATCATGCAGATCCAGTGTCTGTTTCAAGGACAGTAATCTCATTGATTTTATTTCAGCACAATGCTGAACACTAGACTGAGCCATGAGAAGTGACCTAATATAAGACTGACCAATAGAAAGTGGCCGAAGAGGTTTGTGGCAAATACTTCTTGAAAACCATCAGACGTAACACTGTCTTTCTGAGTGAGAATTCCCATTCCGGTGGAGAGCATTCCTATGACTCGTCTGCAATATGAACACAATACCAAATGATTCATTGATTGGGGAAATCCTTTAATGGAAGCTACCACCTTCTCTCCTAATTCTTGGAGAGATATTGTAGGACAGGTGATTTATATTTGAGTAGTTTACAAATGTGAAAAAAGGATAAACAGACCCATTAACCCTTTAAGCGCCAGAGGTTTTTTTCCAAAACGCTCGATTTTGACATCTTAATTTCAAAAGGCTATAACTTAAAAGTGATAAGAGCTAAAGGCTTTCTGTAAATTAGAAAAATATCAAGGATGGTCCAAAGTTTATGTAGAGAATAAATCCCCCCATTTAATTTGCATATTATGACGTCATTTGGCGTTAGAAATAGTGGATTATAGAATTTTCATACAATATTTGTATTTTTCTAACTGACAGACATATATTGATCACTAAGACATGAACACACACAAAACACACACTGTAACATTGTAAATGTTCATGAAAATAGTAAAAAATACAAATCATGGTGCTGCTGTGAGCAGTCTGCCCAGACGCGCGCCTCCAGGTGAAGCGCGTCACCGCGACCCTCCTGCTGCAGATGTCTCCCCCACTCTCTCTCTCTCACCTGACCTCCCCTGATCTCTCTCTCGTCTAACACACACAAGACAAAGCTTCTCCAACACGTTGCTGTCCCGGTGATTACGGGAGGCATGAAAATAAATATGTGGGAACTAGCACTTTTAGCGGAGACTTTAGCGGAAACTTCAGCGGAGGCGGGAGGTCGCGGCGCGGTGCCCCGACGTGAGCTCCAAACCTCCCAATGACTTGGCCTTACTCTGAGAAACACTGTTCCCACTGCAGACTCTGTACAAAGTGTCTAAAGTTAGTGTTTGGTGCGGTACAACACTCGCAGGCTGCCCCGCAGCTGCAGCGCTTCACAATGATGTCTGCACTGGTTCGACAACGCGGTCTTGCTCGAATATTTTGTATGGGAGCATGAAGTTTTTTGGGGCCAGGGAGGTAGTCTGACATGTCTGCCAACTAGTGGCAGGGAGTATGAATGAATTTTGACACTCAGTTGGACACACTCGGCCGTTTTTAACAGTAGCGCAGCTTGTCAACTTAAGTCGACCGTGGCGCCTAGAGGGTTAAAGAGGCCTTTAAAAAAAGCTTCGACATCAAACTGTGGATTAGGCATTATTCCTGCATTTAAGTAGAGGTAGTCTAGCCGCTTATACCTGCACAATAATCCATGAATCTAATGAGTGGCATTTATCATAGTTCTCAGTTTGAATGTTTCCCACCTGAGTTTGAACTGGTGTGCGGCTCGGAGTACAGAGGCGCAGCTGCTGGTGTCCAGCTCCAGCAGGTCGACTTGAGCTGAGGGGTGAGAGCGCAGCAGAGCGGAGCGGGCCGTCTCAGCACGCTTCATGCTCCTGCAGCCCATACACAAGCGGACCCCCTCATCCAACAGCCTCTCACACAGAGCCAGGCCGACCCCACTGTGGCAACAACACTATTGTATGTGATAATGTGACAGAACAGACTCAACTTTCCTTTGGGATTGGAGTCATGAATACACGAAAAAAAATTAACCAATCCATAATGCCAAGAAAGTATGATAATACGTTCAACAATTTTTATATATAAAATAATACATACTGTACCAATTTGCACCTGTGACCAAAACCACTGTATCCATTCTTCTGGACCTTTGCTCAGGGAACAGAAGCAACAAGTAGCTCCGGTTTCTGGGATCATGTAATAGCCTTGGGTCCTCCTCTGACACATAATTGATCAGAACATTGTGCTAAGAACCAATTAGTACAAGGCTCAGCTCAGTCTTTGTACAACATCCAGAAAACACCTTTTAAATAAATAAATTACACACTTTGTTCAGCTCGGGTTTCATTTTGGCCTTGATAAAGTACCAGGATAAACACACAATCAGATACTTGGCTTAATAAACCCATCTATTATTATCTATTACAAATGAAAATAGGAACATGAATTGGGAAAAATGTACTATCGTTACCTTATAACTCTTTTCAGCTGATGATGTAATTTCTTCATCCATTTCATAAGCCTTCATCATAGAACATAAATATAGTACAACATTCTCTTTATTTTTAACACATACAATTGCCTTTTGGTGCTGGTTATAACATAAAAAACACTGAAACATGACCTGCTTCTATAAGAACAGACCAAGGTAGACAAACACTTAAACGCTATAAAACAATTATAAATACACATGTCTATGAAATACTAGTAAATACAGTCACATACAAGATAAAATCACTGCAAGAAGATGTCACAGATGTTGTTTTTTGTTGTTGAGATCTACATTCAAGCAGTCTTCCAAAATATAACATCAGAAAGAAACACACGATTAAATCAAAAAGTGCAGTATAGTCATTGCTACATTTCAATTTGGTTTACTCAACGTTTTAATTGTATTTAAAGTTCATTTTCTTGATACAAGTCATTAGCCGAAGGTCATTAGCCGAAGGTCATTAGCCGAAGGTCAAGTGAATCAGAGAAGTTTGGAAGAGGCTGGTGATTCTGCTGCTGCGGTGGAGAGGAATGAGAAAAGCAGCTGAAGAGATGAGAGGTGGTGAATGGAAAAGAAATACAGTCGTTCTTCACTTAGTTACAACAATGTTCAGTTCAAATTTGCAGTTTTGTTTTTTACTGAACACTCTCAGCTTAAACTTGGGTCTTCCACAGGCTTCGGTCCTAAACGCTGCCCCCCTCTTCACTTAAACATGATTTGTCTAAAAGGGCTCTATGTATTTCTTGGAAGGAGGGTCGATCTTTGGTGTTCCTCCTCCAGCAGGTGAGCATTACACCGTACAGAGCGTCTGGACACAGGACAGGCTGAGGCAGATAGATCTGTGGAGAATATTATTATTATTATTATTATTATTTGTTTATTTGACAGGGACATTGCACAATAAATGTATTGTTCAGACCGGATATAGCTACAAGCTAATTTTCATCCGTAGTCCCTGAGGCAGAGGCAACGTGACAGCAGGTTTACAGTGTGCAAAGAATTGATAAATAGAAAGAATGAATGGCCTAATTAAAATACAGATAAAATACAACACGTCTAAATCACACAGACACAATTCAATACATACAAAATATACATCACACAATTATTTACATCTGACTAATGACTACAGACTTGATTCTCTTTGAGCCAGTTTTTTAGGCTGAGTTTAAACTGTCCTAGTGAGCTACTCTCCCGCACAGACAGAGGTAATGAGTTCCAGGCCACTGCTGCTTTGACAGAGAAACAGTTCTGACCAAATGAGGAGGACCTAAAGTTCACATAACAGTCTCCCCTGGATGTGGCTCTGGTGGATCTGGTTCTCACCTCCTCACACCTTTTCACAAATGTATTTAGTGGTGGGGGTGCCAAATTTTGGAAAATTTTATATATAAGACAGATATTTCCAAACTGGATAACACTCTCAAATGTAAATAATTTATATTTCTCAACAATTTTGCAATGATGATGTGACCTCGGTTTTTTATCTAAAATCTTTAGAGATTGTTTGTATAAACTCAGAAGAGGTTGCTTTGCTGAGTCTGGAGCCAATGACCAGGATGTGCAACAATAAGTGAATTGTGAAAAAATCATTGAATGCATAAAAAGCTTTGCCGCATCTGGACTCATCTGGTGACGGATTCCCCTAAATTGAGACAAACTAAATTTTATACGTTTGATCATTTTGGAAATGTGCGTCTTAAAAGACAGTGTCCTGTCAAGCTCAACTCCTAAATATTTAATCGAATCCACAATTAACAATTTGTCTTCATTAATGATTATTTCTGGTGGAGTGAGATGAGTATTCCTTACTGAAAAATACATGCTGACGGTTTTTCTAACATTTAGTGTCAGACATGATTTTACCATCCAATCTGAGATTTTCTCCATGGCAGATTGGAGAATAGACGCAGCTTTTTGGCTGGTTTTGTTATGGACATATAACAAAACAGTGATAACAGAGACATTTTATATATGAATGTGTTCTTGAAGTTAAATCATGAATGCACTCATAAAGAGGCGATACCAGGCAGGAGTCTGAATTAGGGCACGTTCAGATTTGGTCAATTGAACCCGCCCGCTTAAGTAAGTAAGTAATCTTTATTTATATACCGCCTTTCACAGACCAGAGTCACAAAGCGGTTTACAATTGTCCCATCTCCACACAGAGATGGGAGCGAGGTCGCCAGTACAGGAGGCGCATGCCAGACCTATTTTACATGTTTTTAGTGGTAGGTGAAACTAGATTACCTGGAGGAAACCTGCACAGACACGGGGAGAACATGCAAACTCCACTCAGAAAGGCCCTGTTCCGACCGGGATTCGAACGCAGGACCTTCTTGTTGAGAAGCGAGAGTCCACTCAGCCACTTTGCCACTTAGGGCAAAGTATTTATTTTGTGGAAATGTAACCCTGGCCCACTTGTCACCTCAGGGTTCATTCTTGTTGATCTAGTTTGTCATGGTGTGGATTCTTCTGTTATTTTGTACTTTGTCTTTGCTTCTCTTTGTTTGTCCTCGTCTGTCAGTTTCCTGGTTCCTGTTTTGAATTTGTTTTTACCTAAGACTTTTTTTTATTATTTTATCTTTATTTATCATTAAATCATTGATTAATTCATTATCTTCCCATTTATTAGACCATATCTGGGTTGGGGGGGGGGGGGGGGGGGGGGGGTCAATCAGAGCTGCCACCCAATGCTCATAGCACCAGTCCCTCGCTGATCCTCCTGCAGGCAGGAAGATGGTTTTTCCGTCAGCAATGACACAGCCTTGATCTTTCAGCGGGGGCCTCGGGCAAAGTGGGGTTAAGTGTCATGCCCAGGGACACAAAAACAGCAGACATCAGTAGGAGCAGGTGGACGCTTTGTAATGCTTTACCAACTGAAATACTGTCTATTAAATCCTTATTTTCCATTATGTCCATTGCATAGTTCACTTTAGCTGAACCAAGTCTGCTTCACCAAACAAGTGAGCCAGTGTCCACAAGTCACTTCTGTTGGTTTTCGCAACTTTTGAAAAACATTTGAACCAGACTTGCTACAGATAATGTGAACAAGACCAACAAGTATGAACGCACCCTCATTCACTTTGTTTTAACCAGATCAGTGATGTCATGAGGACCAAACAGTGGGAACAAGCCCTTAAAACAGTCATGTCAAACTCAGGCCTGTGGGCCAAATTCAAGCAAGACAATTTTTAGTTGCCCCTGAAAATATCTATTGCAGTAACTTGCAGTATTGATGGTAAGTGGCTACTATGGCATGTTATAGTTCATAATAAATGCTATTGTCTCAGGAAAACAACCATGTAATTGTATCTGTTCTGAAATGTTAACAAAAATGTAATTAGAAGTCTTCCAATACATCTCTTATTGATGTTTGGCCCAGTTGTGGTTGAATCCAAACCTACGAGAATATATTATCCACACTTTGAACAAAAACAATTATTTTGTCAAAACATTTTTACACTTCTGGCCCATACCAGCTCACGTTTTTAAATTTGGCCCCCGAACAAAGTGAGTTTGACACCCCTGCCTTAAAACAAACCATATTTTAAAACAAGTCAGCCGATCTTCAACGTTTTGTTTGCAAATAAAGCATTTTGAGGAGTAAAGTAATAATACAGCTCTGACCTGTCGCTTCTGGTCCCGGAAGAACTCTCCTGTGTTCTCGATCACCTGTTCGTCTGTGAGCTTAGAGTATGGCTGCTCTTTACAGAAGTTCAGAATCTCCCACAGAGTCACCCCAAAGGCCCACACGTCACTGGCTGTGGTGAACTTGCCCTGCAGGAGGCAAAAGGTTTAAAGAAGAAAGGTCCTCACAATAGGAAGGAATTGTTGAAACCTACGCATATTAAAAGTGAATAAGAAGCAAATAAAAACAATTGGACCTTAGAGGCGATGCACCCAACTTTAAAACCACATAATGGTTGCTCTCAAAACAGCTTGATTCTACTACTAGTTTTCAAATGGCAGTGTTTTTGGGCCTTTATTACACAAAACATTTAAAAAGTGAGGCTCATCACAAATTTTTACTTGGCTCAAAATGTGAACTAATTTGAGATCAGATAAATAAATAAAAAAAATACCTAAGAAAAAAAATGGTCACTGAGAACTTATTTGGTGCAGTTGTTACGTTACAGGTGATTTTTTTATTTTTTATGGAGTATCACACTTTTTATAGCTTTAATGAATCTTGCATTACACTGTTCCCTTCCAGACAGCAGATAGTTACCAGCAGGATGCTCTCCCAGGACATCCAGCGAATGGGCAGCACGGCGCGGCCCTGGATCCGATAATAATCCCCGCTGTACAGGTTTCGGCTCATGCCAAAGTCGGCTATTTTTATGGTGTAATTCTTCCCCACCAAACAGTTTCTGGTGGCCAAGTCGCGATGGACAAACTTCAAGGAGGAAAGATACTTCATCCCTGATGCGATCTGAGTGGCCATGTAGCACAGGTTCTCAAAACTATGGAGCAAATTTGAGAAAAAACTATATCATTAAATATATAGTAAATTTATAGCAAATTTGAGAAAAAACTATATGATTATAGTGGTTGTAAGATGATGAAACATAAAAAGCACAATTAGCACTTCCATCTATCCATTTTCCTTGGCCTAAGCGCTTGTTTATTCAGTTTTGTTAGAGATATTTCTTCTTTCTCATCCTGCATGTCTCATTTGTGCCCAGTTATTGTGTCAATGGTTTACAATAGAACAGGTGTCTCCAACCTTTTTCACCCAGAGAGCTACTTTGCCAGGACAATAAAGGCAGAGAGCTACTCTTTTAAACGGCCCTGGGAAAAATGTGGTGATAAATTGGTGAGAACAAGCCTGATATTAGGTACAGACATTATTTATCATTACATATTTGTTTCTAGTGCACAAAGTAAGTGTATTTACAATAATAAATATACAACCCGATAATAACAGCTTATTAACCGAGCAAGCAAGGTTAATAAATGTTTTATTATATGACTCTCGGCTGTGTCTTTACCAATGCTTTTGAGATATTTGTGAAGTATGTTCATGCCGACTTGGTTTTGTGTGGTACGGGCTGTGGACCGATTGTCATGGTAACGGTCCGAGATGGGAAAATATCAGACCGGTAATCAGCCAATCAGAGCGCGGGTACGGTCCAAGTCATATAATAGTGAATAATAAAACCTGAAATATTAAGTATATTGTTTGATTATCTCATTTCTAAATCCTTGGTTAGCTACATGGAAAGGGGTGGTGAGCTACTGGTGGCTCCCAAGCTACAGGTTGAAGACCCCTGCAATAGAACATGGCAGTATAAGTTGTGTACCTGACAGTGGGGGTGTTGCTGGGCAGAGCCTGCTGTCCCTCAGGCTCGTGCTTTGACAGAAACTGGTTGAGATCTCCGTTCTCCATGTACTCTGTGATCATGCAGAGAGGGTCACTGTAGATGCACACAGCCAAAAGACGCACAATGTTTGGGTCCTTCAGGCGAGACATGATCTTTATCTCCTTCAGGAAGTCGTTTCTGAAATTAACAATCTCACATTAGCACAATCTCTCGATACAAGAGAATGTGTCATGGAACTAGCTGTACCTTGCATTTTTATTTGCATCTGAGCGGAGCATCTTCACAGCCACTAAAACTGGCTCTTCCTCTGGGTAGTCAAATTTAAACTCTTTATTCATGAACTCCTGCATCCCCTCTGCCTCACACAAGTGAACCTAGACAATGGCAGAGGTCACAGAATTACAATGAGGACTGAGAGGATTTAATACAAAGCCTTGTTCTATTCACACACTTGAACACAAAAGTGACAATTTACCAATCACTATTTCTGGGTCTAACTATTGCTGGTGAAGGTGTTTAAGTCAGTTTGTAGTTTTAATTTGAACATTTCACAGTCTCAGAAGAGAAAGTGGTAGAGGTAGACTGTTAAAAAAAAACTGAATTTAGGAACCACACAGACTTTTCCAGGTTTAAATATTACTAAACAGGTTTACACTATTTCTTTAGAAGTTCTAAGTGAAAAATCCCCAAAATACAGAAGAATCCAGGTGAAGCTGCCCAGAAATCAATGTTTGAGTAACCCTCTCCAAGTTCATATTAAAAACAGCAGCTGTGTACACCACACATAAAAGCACCTTTAACACATTTAACCCTTTAATTATCGGCTGATGCTTTGCACATTTTTTATTACAATCTATGGGAATGGGAAATGCAATTACAATTCAAAGAAACCAACCTCTCCAAACTGTCCCTCCCCGAGTTTTTCTTTGAATGTCAGTAATTTCCGGGGGAACTCCTCCACAGCCACGTCTTTCCCTGAGAGCAGGTCCATAGTGACCGCTGGGATGGCATACGTGTTTCCCCCGGTTACGCCCTGGAGGTTCACAATGTCGGCCTCAGCGTAGTGTGGGACGCCATCTTGGGCCGCTGAGGATGTGGTGGACTTCGAGGCCGCGGTGCTTGAAGAAGCTGCAAGTAAACACGACCAGAGAAATTCTTTATGGCAAAATGAGTGCGGACTTTACTGAATGACTAGTATCTCTTCCAACCTTAGCCTAGAAAACAATCTGTTCCAATTTATCTGATTGCATGTCGCTCTTATTAACTTTGACATTTATACCACTTGGTAATAGAGGTAAGTGTTAAATAATAAATAAACATATACTTCCATGAGCCCACACAGACATGTTTTCTGATTGCAAACTTCACCTGGAGTCTGAACAGGGCTTTTGAAGTCTCTCAAAGTGCAACTCTGAATTGAGTCAGTCTTTTTACGGATTCCAAAGTAAATGATATTACTAATTTTTGACTGAAAAAGCTGTATAAGGGAACTAGTTAATGTATAGAATTGACTTTGGTGAAATAGACAAACTGAAAATCCTACATATATTAGAATAGTCTGTATTGTGTTACACGTAATTATGTAATTGATTTGGTTAATCTTGCAGACCTATTACGTTCAATAGCTCTGATTAACGCATGTTGGTACCTGGCTCATCTGAGGTCTGAGCAAACTCAGGCAGCTTGGATATGAGGCGGGATGGTTCCTGATAGTCGGGGCCCAAGGGGAAGATCCTGTCGTAGGTGGAAGAGGACTCCTGCTCGCTGGACGAACTGGACTGAGGGTTGTTGTTGTTGTGGCTGTAGGTGAACGTCTCGCTCTGTATTGACAAACTAGCAGTTAGTTCATCGTCCAGCATCCGACAAGTGGCCTAGAAGAGTGAGTTAGGATGAGGGAATACACCACACAATCAATGCTGCAGCTGATCTTCTATGCACAGAGATGGGACACATACTTTGAGAATGTATTTAAGTCTGGGATAAATAAAGGTTCTCCTGCAGATTTGTATTAATTCATTGAGTGCCATTGACGCATTTGTCTGAGACTGATGATTTCTGTCAAACTTCCCTCTATTCGCAGGGATTACAGGAAAACAAAAATAGATAGAAACAAACTTATTTTTTCTGATGAAAGTAGAGAATCCAATTTTTCAAAATCTGGTTTCATATTTTGCATAGTCAAAGAATATTCATAGTCAAAGAATTTTTCTGCTCTTCATCTCCACAGAGCATAGTGTTTCAACAAATGAGGTCAAATACACTCACCTTCTCCAGCATTTTCTGCCACACCTGCCGCCACAAGATAATTACGATGATGGCCACGAGGATTAAAATTATGGCCACCAAACATCCAATCAAAATACGCGTGTTACTGTCGTCCACTTTGTGCGTGGGGTCGTCCTCTAGAGGGAGACAGAGAGAGAAGATACTGTAACCAAAGTGGTAGCATAATAAAGGCACTTCTAAATAAAAGGTCTACAGCTTACTCCCCTCTTTGATAATTACCTGGTGGTATATTTGATGGTGGTTTTGAGGGCATCAATGTTGTGTTGTACATTGCTGTGTCTGAAAAAAAGGAATACGTGGCTGATATAACCGAGCAATGAATCATGTTACATGATTATTAGGCCCGAGCCCCGAACGGGGTAAGGGCCTATTGCTTTCACAATGGTGAAAACAAATGGTGGCGGTGCGTGACGGACGCGTCAGCGCCCGTCACTCACCAAAACGTGACAGTTGCGTGCGTAAACTCAAAAGCTTTAAAATGATGAATCACATGCCATTGAAACCTATATTGTTTTTGCTCGAGACAAGTCACAAAAAATTCCTTTTTTATTTATTTATTTATTTATTTATTAGGCCCGAGCCCCGAACGGGGTAAGGGCCTATTGCTTTCACAATGGTGAAAACAAATGGTGGCGGTGCGTGACGGACGCGTCAGCGCCCGTCACTCACCAAAACATGACAGTTGCGTGCGTAAACTCAAAAGCTTTAAAATGATGAATCACATGCCATTGAAACCTATATTGTTTTTGCTCGAGACAAGTCACAAAAAATTCCTTTTTTATTTATTTATTTATTTATTAGGCCCGAGCCCCGAACGGGGAAAGGGCCTATTGTTTTTGCTCGAGAGATGTCAAATTCTGCACTTTGAGCCTTAATTTCACCCCCTGAACATGCATGAAAAGTTGTAAAATTTTGACCAAACATCAGACCTGTTGAAAAATTTGATATTTTGGTGTTTATTTTTATGGGACTCAAAAAATGCCAGAACAGCGCCACCTACAACAGCCAATGGGAGTTTCAGAGGTCAAGTTTGTCGTAGAGCCATGAAATTCGGTACACATGTTCCTCAAGTCAAGATACGACCGAAATGTTATCATGGCTCCGCCCTCTGACAAACAGGAGGCCCATAAATTTCACTGCAAAATGGAAAAATGAACAGCAAAAGTTTTCATACATGTCGGTTGGAAAGCGACTCCTCCTCGGCCGTTTCACCGATTCGCCTCAAATTCGCTCCACATCATCTCAACACATGTACCTTCAAAATGACCTCAGGGATTTTTGATCAGTGAAACATTGTTTGAGCAGCGGAGCGGCAAAATGTGACCTTTTTTTGGCCGTTTTTGACAACATTAAATTTGCTCCCGTTTGCACATACAAAGTCTGATTTGCACAAAACTTTAATACATTGTTCAACTCTAGGGTCTAGGTCATTTGAAAGTTAATTTAATCAAATTTACACATTAGCGCCCCCTACAGACTATTTCAAAGTTTTAGATGGGCATTTTCAAATTTAGTTTTTTCAAAATGTTTGAAATTTTGCACATAAATCTGTTTTGCCCTCTTGATTCAAAAAGTCAATAGGGTCCAAGGCTTATTTTTTACCCTGTTGCCGTGGCGACGACAAATGCGCCCCATTCATTGCAAATGTACACCTCACACAAACAGCAAACCAGCCTCGGCCGTTTCACCGATTCGCCTCAAAATCGCTCCACATCATCTCAACACATGTACCATCAAAATGACTTCAGGGAATTTTGATCAGTGAAACGTTGTTTGAGCAGCGGAGCGGCAAAAATTGGCGTATTTTTTTTCAGTTTTTGACAATAGAAAAATTGCTTCCGTTTGCACAAACAAAGTCTGATTTGCACAAAACTTGAATCCATGGTTCAACTCTTGGGTCTAGGTCATTTGAAAGTTAAAATTTTGAAATTGGCTCTATAGCGCCACCTAAAACAGCCAATTTAAAAATGCCTATGGGAGGGGTTCAAGGTCAAAATTGTTGTAGAACCATGTAATTTGGTACACATGTTCCTCAAGTCAAGACATGGGAAAAATGTTATTATGGCTAATCCCTCTGACAAACAGGAAGCTCATAAATTTCATTGCAAAATGGAAACATGAAAACCAATCATTTTCATACATGTCGCTTGGAAAGCGACTCCTCCTTGACCGTTTCACCGATTGGCCTCAAAATGGCTCCAAATTATCTCAACACATGTACCTTCAAAATGACTTCAGGGAATTTTAATCAGTGAAACGTTGTTTGAGCAGCGGAGCGGCAAAATGTGAGGTTTTTTTTGGCCGTTTTTGACAACATTAATTTTTTTCCCGTTTGCACAAACAAACACTGATTTGCATTAAACTTCAATCCATTGTTCAACTCCAGGGTTTAGGTCAGGTGAAAGTGAAATATTTGAAATTGGCCCATTAGCGCCCCCTGCAGACTGAGTCAAAGTTTACATGGGGAGCCAAACCAGCTCTAGTTATCATATTCATTACGATTTGACTAACAATCTTCTATGGCTATGGGAACAAATCACCACACGGCGGTGCCACCTCCTTTTAGCGGTGCTGCGTGGTACGGTGTGGTGCGGCGTAGTGCGGGGCGTTGTGGAGCGGCGCGTTGCGGCTTGGTGCGGGGCGGCGTGGTGCAGGGCGGCGTGGTGCGGCGGGTGCGCGCGGTGCGGGGAGTCGCGCGGTGCGGCGAGGGCCGTTCGACGCCGCTTGCGGCTTTAATTAGGCCCGAGCCCCGAACGGGGTAAGGGCCTATTGCTTTCACAATGGTGAAAACAAATGGTGGCGGTGCGTGACGGACGCGTCAGCGCCCGTCACTCACCAAAACGTGACGGTTGCGTGCGTAAACTCAAAAGCTTTAAAATGATGTATCACGTGCCATTGAAACCTATATTGTTTTTGCTCGAGACGTTAAAAAAAAAATTCCTTTTTTATTAGGCCCGAGCCCCGAACGGGGTAAGGGCCTATTGCTTTCACAATGGTGAAAACAAATGGTGGCGGTGCGTGACGGACGCATCAGCGCCCGTCACTCACCAAAACGTGACAGTTGCGTGCGTAAACTCAAAAGCTTTAAAATGATGTATCACGTGCCATTGAAACCTATATTGTTTTTGCTCGAGACGTTAAAAAAAAAATTCCTTTTTTATTTATTTCTTTCTTTCTTTTTTCTTCTGCACTTTGAGCCTTAATTTGACCCCCTGAACATGCATGAAAAGTTGTTAATTTTGGCCCAAAAATCAGACCTGGCGAAAAATTTGATATTTTGGTGTTTATTTTTATGGAACTCACAAAATGCCAGAACAGCGCCACCTACAACAGCCAAAATAATACCCCTATGGGACTTTTCGGAGGTCAAGTTTGTCGTAGAAACATGAAATTCGGTACACATGTTCCTCAAGTCAAGACGAGAAAAAAATATTATTATAGCCCCGCCCTCTGACAAACAGGAAGCCCATAAATTTCACTGCAAAATGGAAAAATGAACAGCAAAAGTATTCATACATGTGGGTTGGAAAGCGACTCCTCCTCGGCCGTTTCACCGATTCGCCTCAAAATCGCTCCACATCATCTCAACACATGTACCTTCAAAATGACCTCAGGGATTTTTGATCAGTAAAACATTGTTCGAGCAGCGGAGCAGCAAAATGTGACCTTTTTTTGGCCGTTTTTGACAACATTACATTTGCTCCCGTTTGCACAAACAAAGTCTGATTTGCACAAAACTTTAATACATTGTTCAACTCTAGGGTCTAGGTCATTTGAAAGTGAAATAAATTAACATGGCTCATTAGCGCCCCCTAGAGATGGGGTCAAATTTTTTAGTATCGGAGCGTTTCAAGGTCAAGTTTGTCGTACAGGCATGAAATTTGGTACACATGTTCCTCATCTCAAGTCATGAAATAAAAGTTATTATGGCCCCGCCCCCTGACAAACAGGAATCCCATAAATTTCACTTCAAAATGGAAAAATGAAACATGATCCTTTTCACACGTGTCGGTTGGAAAGCGACTCCTCCTCGGTCGTTTCACCGATTTACCTCAAAATCGCTCCACATCGTCTAAACACATGTACCATCATTTTGATTTCACAGACTTTTGATCAGTAAAACGTTGTTTGAGCAGCGCAGCGCCAAGAAGCGGCGTATTTTTTTTCAGTTTTTGGCAATAGAAAAATTGCTTCCGTTTGCACAAGCAAAGTATGATTTGCACAAAACTTGAATCCATGTTTCAACTCTTGGGTCTAGGTCAATTGAAAGTTCAAATTTTGAAATTGGCTCTATAGCGCCACCTACAACAGCCAATTTAAAAATGCCTATGGGAGGGGTTCAAGGTCACAATTGTCGTATAACCATGTAATTTGGTACACATGTTCCTCAAGTCAAGACATGGAAAAAATGTTATTATGGCTAATCCTTCTGACAAACAGGAAGCCCATAAATTTCATTGCAAAATGGAAAAATGAAAACCAATCATTTTCATACATGTCGCTTGGAAAGCGACTCCTCCTCGGCTGTTTCACCGATTCGCCTCAAAATTGCTCCAAATTATCTCAACACCTGTACCTTCAAAATGACTTCAGGGAATTTTAATCAGTGAAACGTTGTTTGAGCAGCGGAGCGGCAAAATGTGAGGTTTTTTTTGGCCGTTTTTGACATTATTTTTTTTCCCATTTGCACAAACAAAGTCTGATTTGCATTAAACTTGAAACCATTGTTCAACTCCAGGGTTTAGGTCAGGTGAAAGTGAAATATTTTAAATTGGCCCATTAGCGCCCCCTACAGACTGAAGCAAAATTTACATGGGGAGCCAAACCAGCTCTACTTATTCATATTCATTACAATTTGACTAACATTCTTCTATGACTACGGGAACAAATCATCACACGGCGGTGCCACCTCCTTTGCGCGGTGCTGCGTGGTACGGTGTGGTGCAGCGTAGTGCGGGGCGTTGTGGAGAGCGCGTTGCGGCTTGGTGTGATGCGGGACGGCGTGGTGTAGGGCGGGGTGGCTTGGTGCGGGGCGGCGTGGCACGGGGTGGTGCGCGCGGTGCGGGGAGAGCGCGCGGTGCAGGGGGTCGCGCGGTGCGGCGAGGGCCGTTCGACGCCGCTTGCGGCTTTAATTATACTTGTTCTAGCCCAGGAAAACCTGGGAAAGAACAAGTTTGCTGTTGTTTGATGTCATATTTGACCCACTGAACATGCACGAAAACTTACAAAATTTTGCCACAAGTTCTGTTCTTGCAAACACTTTATTAATTT